GGCTCGTCGGAGCAGGCGCTGCGCCTCATCCTGTCCATCCTCATGGGTAAAGCAGGGCGGGGGGAGACGGGGCTGGCGCCCCGGGCGGGGCTCCGCGCCGTGAGAACGGGCGACCCCGCCGCCGTGCCGCGCAGCGCTGGGGGCCGGGGCCGGGCATCGCTTCGCCCGCGCGGAGGGCACCGGCACCGCCCGTCCCGCGCGGCAGCCCGCGAAGCGCCCGCCGCCGCTGCCCGGGGCCAGCCCCCGGTGCGGACGGGGAGCACGCTCGGTTTCCCCGCGGGAGGTCGGGGTGCGGTCCTGGCAGGCCGCCTGTGGAAGGGGGGCAAGGAGGAGCCGGGGGTGCCTGCGAAAGACCCCTGTTTGGGTCCGTGTCCCGGGCACGGGAAGTTTGTTTGGGATTGTCCCGCGAGTGCCCGGTGATGCGTGTGCATCCAGTGAGCGCGTGTCCGCAGGGGTGTCCGCTCGGGAATCTCCGCAGCCCTTCAGGTGTTGCCCCGTCCGAGTGCAGGGACATCGCTGTCCGGGGACATCGCTGTCCGGGGACATCCCCCGTGTCCGCGGCAGTGGTGGCACCGTGAAGGAGAGGCGTGTCATCAGGGTCACTGCCAGGCAGGGTGAGCAAAACCTTGCAGCTCAGTGCCAGGAGAACTGGGGTGATGTCCTGCGCTCCACCTGCGGCGCGAAGCGTGTTGCAAAACACAGGGTGCCTGCGCTTATGTAAACATGAGATACTTGAGTTCCATGGGAAATGGTTAAGGCAGGGCTGGAGTTGTGATGTGGGCTGGCGATTGAGGGGGAGGTTGTAGCTCCCAAAACATTAATTCAAATGTATGTATACATGCTATCTGTGTAAATCTCTGCAGATGCTCAGGGAAACTTTGGGTTGTGAAAGCATTTGGCGGTGTAGTCACCTAGCAGAAAAAAAATACAAGTTTTCCTCTGAACCTGAAAGTATATTTGAAGTGATACAGCCACTACTGTGTCATCTGTCACAATAAAGTTGCTTTGGCTAACTAGAAGTATAATATTTTTAAAGGAAATGCAAGCAAGAAAAACTGTGTCACTTCATAACCATGGTCTGCACCAGACTTATTTCTGCCTGATTTAGTTTATGATGTGTGAGATCAAACTGAGCAAAACATTCTTCCCGTGAAGGGGTCGATACAGGAAACTGCACTGGCTGTCGTTTTGAGCTCAACGTAGAAGTTTGTTAAACCAAACTTCTGTAAAGAAAAAAATGAAGTAATAGGAAACACACAGGACATGCACACAAGGCAGCGTTAATTAGTCCAGCAGCTCCCCACCTCCAAACGAGAAAAGTCCTGCTTTCCTTTCTCCCACGTCTCTCTCTGGTCCTTTAATTGCGATCTGATTGAATTTACTTGTTTGGCAGAAACCTAAACCAGAAAAAGCAGATAGTTCACTACGAGGTTAGTCACCCGGATCAAGCAAGGGACCAGTCTAACGAGTGCTGATGCAGAAAAGGTCCTAGAAAGTGTGTGTGGAGGCAGCCGCAGCAGAGATGGCTCTGCAGAATGCACCACGATCGTACTCTCCGAGCTGCTTCTTGCTAGCAGTAAGTTGGGGACACGACATTTGGGAGGGTGTTTCCTGCTCAGCGTCTTATGGGTGAACAGCAGCAGTTCTTTGAAGTGAACAGCAGATAATTATTGTCCTAATGATGATAAGCGCTGCCTGCTGCAGTCAGCAGATTAAGGAAGCGTGAGACTCCTGTGTGCTGTTACAAATGTTCCGTGTGCACTGTCGACAGTGAGCCACTGGGATGCCACAGTGTCCCTTCCCGAGGTAGGCCACTGTCTGTTTTACATAGTCTCAATGGATGTTTAGAATTTGTATTAAAATTCTGGAGAGCAGGGTCCAGAAAACCGCTCACACCTCTCCCCTGCATGCTTCAAATGGATAAAGCAAACCAGGAGGCTGGAGCTGCACTTTTCCCTGTCCTTTCTCCCTAGCTCAGTATCTTTTAATTAGATGCAGTGGCAGGCATAACTTCAGACAGAAGGCTCCAGGGCATGCAAAACAGCCTTGCTGCAGTTTGGCACTCTTGCAGGTCATGTAGGTTGAAGCACTCAGGCAGAGGGGGCTGACTCCAGCTCTCCTGCTTAATGGATGGGTATGCCCTGGGTGGTAAAGCCTTATACCTGTACCATGACTTTAAAAGGAAGGGCCAAACACTACTCCAGAGCAACGTGAGAGGAGAGTGAGAGGAGTTCCTTAGCCCTGCACAAAGAAATGTTCATTTAATTGCAGCTTACTTTACAATCCTTTTAATCTCATTGGTGATGCAGCTAGTGCTGATGACCACTTCATAGGATGGCATGGGGTATAAATGAAAGGCATTTCTAAAAGCTGGAAGTGGCATTAGGACATTAAGTATGGCTTTTCCTTCACTTCCTCCATTTCAGGTGTTTACATAGATTCAGGAAGAAAACTGTTTTTGTTGGCTGCTGCTAATACTGCTGAATTATTTCAGGACAAGGCCATGAGGGTGAAGCATAGTTCCAAAGATGGGCTAAAACATCGTTGCTTATTTCTTCCTCTGTGATGCAGTTTCCCATCTACACTCTGCAGTTTTACTGTGACAACAGTTTCTAGGGTTTCACTTTCAGAGGATCACCACAAACCGGTAAAAATAGTCTTCTGAAAAAGAGGAAGAATCACAAAGGACTTTTCAACTTCTTACATTCATTTCTGAAGAAAGCTGAATTATTGTGGAAAAAATAGTCTGAATTTACTCTCTTGATTCAGGATAAGTGTTTGCTTAGTAATGATCTGAAATAACCAAAAGAGGTCATTTAAAAATGTTGGCATTCTGACTTGACTGAAAAAAACCATTAAATGCAGGAGAGAACAAGAGAAGGAGAAAGAACATTTAAGAACTAAAACTAGAGTAGTCCTAAAGAGCACCATGTTGTTTCAGTGAACAAGTAACAGCACATTGCTGAGCAAATTGTGGGGATTTTAGTCACAGTTTTGTATTTAAATCAGAGACAGGTTTACACATGCTGCAATTTTGAAGTAGAGACTACAGCTAGAATAGAGTCCCTTACCTGGATTGTACAAGATGAAAACCTTACTGCTGACTTCCCCCACGTAAAAAATTTGCATAGACAACCTTAGAAGAAAGTAGTCTGCAATTTGGCAGCAGTACCAACAGCAGGAATACCTGAAGCACCGTTCTGGACCCTGCCACACTAAAAATTGCCATTTGTCAGTACAGTGATGTCCATCAATCTTATGAGAATGTCTTTGAGAGATGAACTCTAGCTGGCACTCTTCAGTAGGGCCCAGTGTTCCCACTGGAGCTGCTCCAGTGGTGTGAAGGAGATAACAGGGTTTCTGTGCTGCTGCTCCTGTCCTCACATGAGAGGGGACAGATTGCTTTCCTGCTGTCACTGCTCAGAGCACAAGCCAGGGCACAGGAGGCCTTATGGCACTGTGTATTTAATACTTTATGTTGCTCGTGTTTTGTGCGTGGCTGTACGGTCCCAAAGAATTAAAGCTATTTATCTTACCATAATATTACACAGTGCCTTGCGAGCTACCTGCATAATGTGGAGGGGAGCCAACATGCTGTTTACAGCCCTGAACCAGAAATGACCCTGCTGGTTTGCCCAGGCCTGCCAGGAAAAGCATTCGGAAAGTGTTCTTTCATTCCATGGACATAGCAGGCAACTGCAGAAAGTAACACATTCTTACCCAATGGGTGCCAGAAACCTACTGCTTCACTTGCAAGTTGTCTTATCTCCTCCTCTTCTACCTCTCATCAATTTTTTTACATACTCTGCTTCATGCTCCCTGCATGCTGATGAAATTTAGGCTCAGTGAAATTCTTTTTGTGGCCACCCAAAGCTTCTGGCTTATTCCAAATCAAGTTCCCAGCTGGTCAGCCAAGCAGGAACCTTACTGCAATGGCCCATGAGCAACTGATTCTGATGGGTAAGAGATGGGAGAAGTTCTAAGAGGCAGCAGTGTCATAAAACCAGCCCTCTCACAGGACACTCATGTGCTGCCTTGTTTAAACTCCTAACTTCAAATACATCTTATTCCTTATATAATAAAAAAGTGGACGGAATTGAGTAATGCTACACACTACCTGTGTCTACATTAGCAAGAAAATTGCTGCAGTAGGAGCAGACCTATAGAGCAGACTTGTGTGTGGATTTTGAGCATTTGCCTCTGTCAGCTCATACACACTTATCACCCATTGATTGGAGTGTGTTTTCAGTTCAGTTTCTTGTGAAGAGTGCCCTGTTCACCCGCTTTGAGACAGTTTTGTTATGCAAACTAAAGCACCATAAGTGGACTTTCAAGGTAAACTCCTGAGCTGAATTAAAATACTCATGTTTATGCACCCAGTGTTAAACAAGGTGTGGTACTTTTGCAGTGTTAGAAACAGAAAGGAATAACTTTGGAGTTAAAACATTAGGTAAGGCTGATATTTTAACACTTTTTTTTTTTCTCTGTTGTCCCATTCCTTTCAGTTTTAGCATTCTTATAAAAAATGGAGACAATTGCCCTGTTGGATGTTAACAAAGGAAGAGTTAAATGTTCAGCAAAAGGGAGAAGAGGAAAAGTAGAGGTGCTGGCTTGAAGATGAGATAGAGCTAGTGATATCAAAGGGGAAATAAAGGGAGCAGAGATGAGAAGAATCTTTCTGCTGTTCTTATATGTAGCTTTATCTCTGGAAAAAGAGAGGCATCTTAATCACCCAGTCCAGAAGATGGCAAACTTGATAGCACTATTTTTGTTTGGGATTTCTAGAACTTTTCTCCTGCCTAATCCACCTTCTTGATGATTTAACTTCTTTTGCTCATTTAGAGTGTTGTCAGAGTGGACAAGCTGTGCTTTGTGCAGTGGCCCATTGCTCTCCCAAATGGCCATGGCCAAGAAGCTGAGCTTGTCCTTTCCTTCCATCTCCATGGTTCTCTTAACCAGAGATCATCCCCTTGTTCCTGTCAAGTAAAAAACAAATAAAATTCTCTCAGTTGCTAATTCCATTCTATAGAAAGTGTGCCTAGAGGGAAAACCCAGCTCTGTGCGCAGGCTGTTTTTCCAGCTCCGTGGTGCATAGGGAAGAATGAGTTTGGCTCAGAGGTTCCCTGCTGTTTTCTCCAGGAGTCTTGCAGCCGCTTTCCCTCCTCGGTCCGTTCTGCTTAGGGAGCCGTGAAAGGGGAGTTTGGCAGAGTGGGAGCTGCTGGGCAGAGCCTCTTGGCAGCAAGGAGCAGGGACTCTTGTCCTGTTGCTCTGAATGGCAGAAGCAAAGCAGCGCAGCGTTTCCTGCTGCTGGCATATCCAAAGGTGCCATCCAGCTTGCCAGAAGGCAACCATAACTCCAAAAGCTGCTGTGCTAATTCAGGGACGTGGTCGTAGGGCAGGAGTACTGATGCTGTTATCAGCAGAAATTGTTTGTTGTTTAATGGAGAGTTTATCAGCGTTCAGAAGGGCACAGGCCACATCAGAATGACCATTGCTACCCCGTATCTGCTGCCGTTTGGGGGTTAAAGTTTGTATCAGCAGCATGCAACTGGCCCAGTTGTAAAACTGAGAAAATTATCCCATGCAGCAAAACTGTAGGTAAAGTGCAGTCCAGAGTACTAACAAGTTACTCTAGATATCAGAAGAATTTAGGCTGATGTTGTGACTTTTGGACTGGGACAGCAGCCACATAGTGCAAGACCAAGCTTTAAGTTTATAGTTTCTAAAAACACGGATGCAATGTGTATTATTAGTAACTCTCTATTTGCAAGGGTTCATAATTCTTTTTCCTTCAGAGCAGCATTACCCAAACCATGACATGATCTCCTGTGTAGAGCTAAAAAGGAGCACGGCTGACAAATGAGACAGGTCTCAGAAAAAGCGGGAACATTAGTTACATTATAGTATTCAGTCATGCTTTAATTATGTCTGTAGAAATGGCTAGAGGGTAAAAAATTTTGGTAGAAATTGACTGGTTTGCAAAATAATAGTGGTTTTCAAGAGAGTGGGAGACCCTTGAAAATGAAGGTTTAAAACCATGCATATTGATGAACAGCAGTCAGTTGTGCTTTGCCTGTATTTCTGATTTTTCTCCCCTTTGCTCAGAAGGGGAAAACATTTTTCCACAGTAAACCTCAGCTTTTTAATTTTTGATCTACTCTGATAGTAAAACTTCATATTTTTTACCACTTTCCGTTTCTCAAAGCAGTTCTTCCTATGGTTTTTAAACTTCAGCAGGAAGATTGGCTCATGAACAAAGAATCCCCATTTGTATGTTTCTGAGTAAAAGGCCAGTAGAAAATACTACTTTTTTTTCTTCTTTTTCTTTTTTTAATCATGTGAATTGCTCTAATTCTTTGAGTTACTCCTGTATCCCCAGAGAGCCCGTGTGATGATCTCTCTTTGCCAATTCCCTCTTTCCCCCTCAGCTGGTGCTCAGGCCAGCAGTGGGGGTGGGACGGGACAGAAGTTGGCCGCGTAAAAAGCATGGAAGAGCGGGAAGGGAGAGGGATGGCTTGGGTGAGGCATTTTGCAGGGGAGTTTGGAGCCGCAGTTTTGGAAGGGAGAGCAGGCTGGATGTGCAGGAGGGAGGTTGCCAGGCTCTGGGAGCGGAGAGCCGTGGTATGTGGGGCTGGCCAGAAAGCAGCCTGTGGCGTGGAAACCGGCGTGGGACACAAAAGGAGGAAGGAACAGCAACAAGGAGGCAGGGAAAACCGAAAGAGGGGTGGCAGGAGGCTGAGGAAATGGGGAGCAGCAGCTCGGCGTCAGGAGGCGGCAGGTACACATCTGGACGCAGCAGAACATGAGCCCAAAAGGATCTAGAAAAGAGCCCCAAAGTCCCCAACTCCAGGGCTCCCTCCCAAGGGATTTGTGGGGTTGGAGAGGGCCTTAAAATGGCTCCAGCCTGCGAGCACTGCCAGACTGCCAGACATGTATTTAAATAACGTGACAGAATTTCTCATTTCCTCTCACAGTAGTGACTAGACTTGGCCTTGCTTATTGGAAGCCTTCCATCCATCATACACTTCTCGGCAGAATGTGCATTTCATCACCTTTTATTACTGCTCCATATAAAACATGACCACCTCCTGCTACTGCTACTCCATTAGTGCAGGTAGCAGAGCTCCATCCACTGCTCCCGATTTCAGCCAGGATGATAAGTAGTGTGGATGCCGGTATTGTGGTATGTGATGAATTTCCCCTTTTTTTGAGCAGGGTAAGGGAAGGCACAGGCTTGCAACTTAGAGCAATAAAGTTACAAGATGCCAGAATTAAGGGGGCTTGTTGTATCCCAGTTCAGCGCCTTGTGCACGTGGCTTTAGAAAAGCTAATTGCAACGCTTCCTGTGCCACTGTGTATTAAGACTTATGATATTTACTGTCTACTGTGTGGCAGTGTTTATTGCATGCTTCGTGAAACTCACCTAGACAACAGAATTTAATTGAATTGTGGTGTTCTGTGTGACGCTTCTCACTGTACTACCAGAGTGCTTCACAAATGTTTGCTTCTCACTTGAGCCACAGATGAATAATGTGGAGGCATTCCTAACTTAGACTAGGAGTTACCTCACAGAAAATGCAAAGGAAAAACCCCTTCCATTTTTCTTAGCTGTTCCATATGAAATGCTTCTGACTGCGTTTTTTTAATCCAAAAATACCACATGCATAGTACCAGTGGATTTTAGTTACAGCTTTGTGTACCCAGTAGTTCACAAATCAGATGCAAATCCGAAGTTGCAGGGGTAGAAAAGCGAGAGTATCTTACTGGAGGTCACCTGAGGAGCTCTGAAATTAAAGCTGAAAGAACTCATTGAGGTGGGAGTGGGACTGAGGTTTTTTGGACGTTGAAATGGTATTAACCATAAAGTTTTTCCCTTCCCCCCGCCCTTTTTTTGTTTTATCTAGCTTCTTGCCACATTCATTGGATTTGTCACATAATTTGGAAATGAATCACAGGCTAAAGTGTGATTCATGTATTTCAGCATTATCCATCTCATATATTGAATGAGGCCAGAAAATGTAATCCTGTAATTTTTTGCACTTCAGTGTCAGTTTTGCTACAATTACGTTCCTGTTAAAGTATTTTCTTCTTTACAGAGTAATTAATCTGGAGTCTGTCTCCCAAGACGCAAAAGCAGCATCAGGAATTAACACCATGCCCTGTGTGGATAGTGTGTGATGTAAAGTACATGTTCCTAATGACACATTCAGAAAGGCTATAGTTTGGTTCATGACAAATACTTGTCTAAACTTATTTACAACTCTTCCTTTTTTTTTTTTTTTCTCTCAGGATATCCTTTTGCCTTGTTCCAGCGCTATTTCCTCTTCCAGAAGGAGACCTACCTCATTCACCTCTACAATGTGTTCACGGGACTCTCAATTGCTTACTTCAATTTTGGTAAGATGAGTTTGGGAAGAGAGAGCTGCCTGGCCCAGGGCATGCTGCGATTTGGGAGGACCTATGCATGTAATTTCTATTTCTCATCTCTCTCTTTCTTTTTCCTGCCCACAGGGACGCAGTTTTTTCATTCCCTGATATGTGTCCTAATCCAGTTCCTGATACTGAGACTAATGGGTCGCACAATCACTGCCGTCATCACCACATTTCTCTTTCAGATGGTAAACCCTCTTTCTTACTCCCTGGGTTTGTAGAAGGGAGGCCTCTGTTCAGTTCAGCACTTCAGTAGCAACTGTGGGTGGAGAAGTGGAGGCAGATCAAAACCAGCTGGAGGAATTAGTTTGAATAACCCAAACAATGGTTTCTTTCAGACTTACCTTATGGCTGGATATTACTTCACAGCCACAGAGCATTATGACATCAAGTGGACAATGCCACATTGTGTCTTGACACTTAAGTTGATTGGTGAGTGACACCTCTCTTCTCTCTCTTGCACTTTGCAAGCTGAGCCCATCCCAGGGCTTCAAGTCACTCTTTCTCACCTCTAGGTCTGGCCATTGATTACTATGATGGAGGAAAAGATCCGGTGAGTTAGACACCATTTCTCCGTCATTCCATGCTGTCCCAGTGAGCTAGAGATCAGAAAATCAAGTTCAAAGGATGTGAGTTAGCAAGCTGCATTGTTAGGTAAAAGCCACACCTGAGAGGGGAGCCTCTGGGAGTGTTTGAGGGCACTGAATTCTAGACTGGAACAAAATAATTTGGAACAGAGACAGTAGTGATTAGAGATGGACAGAAGGTGTTCATTTATGTCAAAATATTACTCTGCACCCTTCCAAATTCCCCACCATCTCCTTCCCCCAAATCTATTGCTTTAGATTCCCAATCACTGATGCTCTGTGTGTTGTGGGTAGTGTACCTTTAACTTGCAGACGATCAGTACTGGATCTCTGTTCCCATTTTCCTTTCCTTCGATTAGTCTCATCATGTGCTTGTCAATGGTTGCCCTTTACCATTTGTTAGGACCCTGTGTTTAGCTCAGAGAAACAGAGAAGTTGCACAGCACAGTGTGTGGGAGAGGGCACTACACATGCTACAGTCCCTCAGTCCTGCTTCAAGTACCTGCGTTCCCCATCTCCTGATTGAGGCCTGACCAAGTCCGTAGCATCCATGGAATCACTGCTGACTGCAGGAAAATGAGGTCAAAATGAAACTTCCTGACCTGAAGCTTCAAGTATTTAAAAATAATTTTTGCATCAAGAAATAGGAATTGTAGCACGATAAGGTCCTGGGAGAGTACATGAACTTGCAGTCAGGTACTGGAATAGATCAGATACAGTGCTCCTACTATGCCTACTCTGCTGCCAGGGATGCATGTTAGTGGATCCCTTCCATGTTTGGAGCTTATTTGGGAATAGAGACCTGTGCAACTGGTCTCAACCGTTGGATCTTGTTGCTGTTTGGAGGGGGTGGGCACAGAGAGGGCTGGGGAGAGGAATGGACATGAAGTACAAAGTGTAAAGTTCCATGTCCATGGGGAGCAAGAACTGAAACCAGAAAGGAGGCAGGGTGAGGACATAACATCCAGAGCTGGATGAAATTCCTGGGATGATGTTAATGCCACTCCCTTTGGTGCAGGAGTTCCTGACCCCTGAGCAGCAGCAATTTGCTGTTCGGGGGGTTCCTACCTTGCTGGAGGTCTCAGGATTCTCCTATTTCTATGGTGCCTTCATGGTTGGGCCTCAGTTCTCCATGACAGACTATCAGAAACTGGCAAGGGGTGAGATGACTGACGTTCCAGGCCAGAGACCCAATAGGTAATACAAAGCTGCTTGGCTTCTCCCCTTCCTAAGATCCTAGAAAGCCGGCTCCTCCACGTTCCCTGCAGCAGACTGCCTTCTTACCTGGACACAGAACTACTGTGACCAGGAGTGATTTATGAGACAAGGCAGTCTTTCAAAAGTCGCTCGTAACTCTGCTTAATGTCCCGGCATTGTTCCAGGGCATGAACATCAACAACCATTTGACATCTTTAGTACAGACTCAGTTCCAACCTGGTGATGTTTGCATCCCAGCTTCCAAATGGAGGCAGCTGCTGCAGTGGAATGTGGTAACTCCCTATCGCTGTCTCCCCTACCTCCTCCTCTCCACCTCTGTTTTTAAAACTATGAGTTTTAAAACTATGGTCTCTTTCCAAGGCATTTCTTTGACCTTGGTATTTTTCTTTCTCAGTTTTGTGCCTGCTCTCAAGCGTCTGAGCCTGGGTCTCTTGTTTCTAGTAACCTACACCTTGTCGAGCCTGTATATCTCTGATGAGTACCTCACCTCAGATGACTATATGGTATGTATTCACTTGGCTTTGTGGTGTGTGGAAGAATTCCACTTCTCTGGTGGGCACTGGATCTACAGGAGTGGAATTTTTTTTTTTTGGCCTCAATTTAAAAATAAGTCAGCAACTATTATGATAAGCAGCATCTTATATGATAAGATTTTCCACAGCTAATTTGGCTTTACTGCCTGTCCTGACGATTCCACCTGATGCAGAACAGCAATCTGTTAAGCAGAACTGAAACAAATGAAAACTTTCACAAACAGAATTGATCTTAAATGCTACTGTTGGTTTTCATACCTAACGTATGTATTTTATGACCTTGTAATGACTTTCCATTTAACCATTATGTGCAGAGAATTTCACTAGAGTAACTTGTAAGGCTTACCATAATCTTTGACATTCTTGGAAAGCTCCTAACAAATAACTCCTACTGTCAGATTATCAGCAAGCATTTTGATTATGCTAATCCTAGAGTCTTCCCAAACTCTACCTATTTCAATACAGCCAAATATTACCAAAGGAAAGAGAATGATGTGTAAGTTTGCATAAGCCTGACAACCCAGTCTGTGCGTCTTAACACAGAAAAAAACAAAAGACCGTGATGAAATACCTTGTGTCATTATGGCCACTCAACTCCAGGTTTTATTTTTACTCTGTTTCACTCTTATCTCTGCAGGAGAAGCCTTTCTGGTTTCGTTGTGGTTACATATTGATCTGGGGCAAAATGATACTCTACAAATACGTAACTTGCTGGCTTGTTACGGTGAGTCTAGATGTTGTTCCAGGAGCCAAAGACAAATGAATAAAGGTCCAAGCCTCTTGGACTTAGCACTAAATGGAAGAAATCCAAATATCTGGAGATCAGTGCAGGTCAGTTCAGCTTGCTTTACGTTAGCAACGGCTAGCTAACAAAAAGGCAGTTTTTAATCCATCCATCTGTAGTGATGCTCTCAACACAGTGAGAGTCAGCACTTCCTCAGCTCTGCTTCTCCAGAAAAAGTAGGGCAATATTTTCATCTTATCTTTCTTGTGCATTTTTTGATAGGAAGGTGTCTGCATCCTTGTTGGTCTGGGGTACAATGGGAAAGACCAGAATGGAAAGCCTTTGTGGAATGCCTGTGCCAACATGAAGGTCTGGCTGTATGAGACAACACCTTTGTTCACAGGGACCATTGCTTCTTTCAACATCAACACCAATGCTTGGGTGGCCCGGTGAGCAGGACAAAATTCTCCTTCTAGAATGTGTCAGTTCTGTTCTGTCAGCAGAACCAAGACCTTAGGCTAAGCAGGAGCACTAGAGGAAGAGTGCCGGTTTTCAGTTTGTGCACTTTTTCCCATGTTTTGCTGCTGTGCTCTTAGAAACAGGCTATTGGGGTACTGGGTTAGAGAGATCTATTAATTCACCTGGAAGGGCAGTTCATTAATAAAGGCAAGCAGCTGATGGCAGCAGAGACTAGAATGGGAATCTACAGTGAGCCCTTGAGGCTGCCTGCCTGCTCAGCCAGCCACAGAGCTGCTCTGACAGCTGCTTCCTGCATCATGGCTCTTGGTGCTCCCCACTCCAAACTCAGATGGGTTTTGGTTCAGCACTTGCTGGGACCCACAGCCAAATTGTAATGACCCCCCTCTCCCCCTTATAGCTGGGATTCCTTTAAGACTGTTTTGATGTAGGTTTTGTCCTGGTCATGCTGTTCCTGCCACCACAAAGTGTGAAAAGGCATCGGGTCCCCTGGGCCCTTCATCCCTGACACAGCCAGGGGAGGGCAGGGAATAACCTGGAAGCACTTGGTTTCTTTTCTGCTCTAGCTACATCTTCAAGCGCTTGAAGTTCCTGGGCAACAAACTGCTGTCACAGGCACTGGCCCTGTTCTTCCTGGCCATCTGGCACGGGCTGCACTCTGGCTACCTGGTGTGCTTTCAGATGGAGCTGCTGATAGTCATCGTGGAAAGACAGGTGCGCTTTGTCTGACTTATCAGAACGGGGGGGCCTGTGTTAGCCTCTGCCCCGGAGCCTGGAAAGCGCCACTCCAAAGGCTTTGCTTGCATTAAATATGAAAAATAGCTGCTTGCTTTGGAATTGGTTTTCAAGCATGGCAGGGTTTTGTTCTCAAGAGTTCAGTAGGTTGCTGCCATCTGTGTGTGCAAACCATAAATATATTGCAGAAGGTGACAGGGAGAGAACTGGAAAACTTGGCATATGAGCAGAGGGTGGCTGAAGTGCTTGGCAGCTGGAAGAACTGGAGGACAAACACATGAGCTGAATACTTCTGTTAAATCTCCCAGTACTGCAGGAACAATATTCCTTATTAAGATGTATTTTCTTAATTAAAACTTTGGCCAGGACAGGGGATTTACCTACTTTTTTAGACTAGCTGCTTAGTAAAACACATTTTACACAGCTGGATAGAGAACTTTGGCCCCAGAGCCTGCATATACAGCCACAGGACATCTAACTGTTGAGAATTCTGCTTTTTTTTCTTTCAATTAGGCCATGAACCTTGTTCGGGACAGTCCTGCCCTAAGCACTTTGGCCTCCATCACTGTCTTGCGGCCCATCTTCTACGTGCTGCAGCAGACTAACCACTGGATGTTCATGGGCTACTCCCTGGTGCCATTTTGCCTCTTCACCTGGGACAAATGGATGAAGGTATTTAGAAGGCACAAACAGACGACCCCACATGGTCCACCCTGTTCCCTCCATTCCCTCCCCTGTGTTCTTGGCTTAAAGCTGGTTGCTGATCCCCAACCCTGCTTTTCTCTTTACAGGTGTACAGGTCTATTTATTTCTTCGGCCACGTGTTGTTCTTCACCTTACTGCTGGTGTTGCCTTACATTCGCAGATTAATCGTGCCACGAAAAGAAAAGCTAAAAAGAGCAGAATAACAGCCAAAAGGTAAGGCTGTATGAGGTAGAGACCAGAAGGTAAAGTGGGGCAGCGAGCTGCAGCCCAGGGTGAAAGGCAAACCTGGAATCAACCGAAGCAAATACAGGGCGCCTCTGTTTTTCAGATTGTACCACCTGTGCATTCGTAGGAGTTGATTTAACACTCCGGAAGCAAAGCATCACCTGCCAAGTTTGCTGTGTTGAAGTATGACTATTTTTCAACGCAAGGAGGGGGAAGGAGAAAGCACAGGGTCAGAGACCCGAAAGGAGGGGATCCGAGCGAGCCTCCTTGAGACCCTCCACCTTCTGTCTGTTGCCTTATCTCTGCCGCCCCGCGGCCGGCACTCGTCTCTCCGCTGATACCAGATGATTGTACCACACTCACGGCAGGTGCTGCGTTGGATTGGAGCCACCTCCTGACTTTTCTACGTTTGTCATCTAAGATAAAAAATTGCTCCTGGTCTTTTTAACATCGGCTTCAGCTCCTTTCCTCTCGGGTGCCTCGGTGCGGGAGTGTGAACTGTCACATGCCGCCGAGCACGGCGATTCTACGGGACCGAGTGACACCAGGGTGAGCAGGGCACAGCTAAGAATTCCAGTTCTGTGACAAATTTGGGCCAAGTCCCTGCTATAAGGGGATCCGGCCTGCCCACATATGAAAAATGAGAAAGTAAAATTCACGAGTGCTTTTTACTCAAAAAAGGTACCTTTAATAGGAGGAAAAAGGGTCAGTGGGGCAGTCCGTTTAAAGTCTCATTGTTTCAGAAGCTCCAAGGACGAAGTTGAAGTGTTTTCCAGGAGCCCAAAGCTGCACCAGCTCCACACCCAAGTCAAAGAGCCCTTCCAGAATGTGAAGTCACTGTATGCAAGTCCATCCTGACAGCAGTAGCAGCAGAAGCTCATACTACTCCCCACACTTCCTCAAAGGCAGTAGTAATTTTAGCACACGTCAGGGCAGCAGAAAGGGGATAGTTGCTGATGGAGACCATCTTTTCTGTATAGTCAACATTGACCTGGGAGAAGAGGGGGGGGAAATAGAAAAAAAAAAAAATTACCAAGTTGCAAAAAGTTTTCACTGAGCCCCATCTCCATTAGTACAAGAAAGACAAGGAGCCACTGGAGAGGGTGTAGCAGAGGCAAGAAAGATTATTAGGACATGGAACCATCTCTTATGAGGAGAGACTGCAGGGCCTCTTTTGTCTAGGGAAGGGAAGACTGACAGGCGGTCTCATTAATGCACATAAATATCTCCAGGGTGGGTGCCAAGAGGATGGTGCCAGACTCTTTCCTCTGGTGCCCAGCAACAGGGCAAGGAGCAGTGGCCATAAACTAAAACACAAGAAGTTTCACCACAACATGAGGAAGAACTTCTTTATGATGAGGGTGGCAGAGCACTCAACATGCTGCCCAGGGAGGTTGTGGAGTCTCCCTCTCTGGAGACATTCAAAATCCGCCTGGACACGTTCCTGTGTCACCTGCTCCAGGTGAGCCTGCCTTGGCAGGGGGTTGGAGTGGATGATCTCCAGAGATCCCTTCCAACCCTAAGAACTGCAGAGGCACAGGATTTCCTCAGCAGGGAAACTGCCAGCTTTCACTAATGCCATCCCTTGGGAGGGACAACAGTCCCAAGTGTTGCAGTTTTGGGCCTTTTTTTGACAAGCATACAGGGGGAAATGGGGGGCTGGATGGAGGGGAAATCAAGCCAAGAAAGGGCAGATAAAACCTCCATTCTCAGAACAAGACTGAAACCTTTTCACAACCCCCAGATAAGAGATGCACACACTTACTGAGCCGTGGGCAAAAGCTCCGACCACAATGACAACTGGCTCTGCTGCAGGAACCAGCTCACGCAGATCTGACACCTGTGACACTGCAAAAGAGGTGCCAATCTTCATACAGCCCACGGGCAGGTGGTCAGTGACTGGATTTTTAATCACCTACAGAAAGCAGAAAATTAATAGGGGTGTAGAGGTAACGGACCCTGACACGTAGCTAGACGCATTGTTTGCTAAAAGCAGCAGACAAGCAAAAAATGCATCAGCTGGCTGCAGGCTGCATCAGGAGCTCATGACCAGTGCATCTGGAGCAGTCCATCCTCACTGTCCATGGTATTTACAAAATACAGTGGTGCTGTCATTCCACAACCAACACCACGTACACAATTCAACATCAAGACTGCCCTCGCCCAAAAATCAAAACTCCTTGAGGTACACATCCTGTTTCCCTGTCCTCCTGATTACCACCAAGTGCACCCAGGTCCTTGAGCAAAAACAATCCCAGATGGGTTGAGATAAGCCCAGGACACAGGTGATGTAGAGGTACATGAGTCTTGGCTGTGGGGAGCAGTAGAATGAGTAGCAGAGCTCCCCATGAGCAGCAGTGCAATTCCTGAGTAATCCAGAATCAAAAAAGTCCACAAGATCTTCTCCAAGTGACAGCAGGCAATACAGAATAGCCAGGAGAAGCTGAGGCACAGCACTGCTCCCAGAAGAGCATCCCAAACACCACCTTCTCCTGCAAAGAATCCATGAAGTACTCATTGGGCAGCAGGGTCAGGATGCCCAGCACAGGGACAGAACAAACCCCAGCAGGTGTGCCCAGATGTTGCCAGCCTCAGTGTGTACCTGGAAAACGCTCCTGAAGCAAGCACAGCAGGCATGGAGGACCTATATAGTCCCCTTTAGGCAATTCTGTCTCATCCTGGCTGGCAAGCAGGCTGCTGCTGGGATTTAAAAACACTCTCCTTCTTTGGGGAATCCAGATTTTCCAGAAGAAAGTTACAACACACATTAAAGTCATGGTTAGTTCTTCTTTGCTTCTGGGAGTGTCGCTGGCCTGCCTGCTGACCTGTGTTCTCAGGGAGGTGCACTGGCTAGGGCCAAGCCTTCTCTGCCAAGATTACATCACCATCACCTTCCTCAGGCTGCTGCTTTTCTGGCATTTCCAGCAACAAGGGTAGCCGTAGTGCCAAGGAATTCACTATCATGATAAATCCTTTGTCCCTGTGGTTTATCCAGTCTTCCCCTCTGTGACTGCAGAAGCCATTCAAGTTAGTTGTATCTTGATTTCCACCTCTCTCTGCCTTTTTGAAAGCTGTACCCAAAAAGTGTCAGTGTCCAGGCGTGGCAGTCAGGCTCACTTCAGGAAACAGATCCCTCAGCTCCAAGGACAGGTGTGTTTGGGGTTTCCTTCCTGCAGCAGCAGCTCCTAGCCAGGTAGCATGTGGGAGAGCCCCCCTGAAACCAGGACCCCCAGCAAGGATGGGCTGGGATAGAACAGCAACCACACCCACAACCAGGACCCCCAGCCAAAAAACACCTCCCCCCTCAAGAAAAAGTCCCTCCTACATTGCCATTAGGATGTTGCAGCCTTAGCTTAGTGAACAGTTACAGAATATTTACCTTCAGCAGTTTCTGAGGCCCATCAGCTGCTCTGACACTGAGCTTATGCAGCAGCTGAACTGGCAAAGAGAAAACAAGAAAAAAATCACTTGAGCTGTGCGGTGATTTCCTGGATGAATCCCATGTTTTGCCTGAGCTGAGGTACACAAAAAGTCCACCTTTAAAGTTCCTATCAGAACCTGAAAAAACATATTTTTCTGACAGCACAGCCTCCTGCAGGCACTCCCCCCTGTGCTAAGGGGCACACAGCTGGGGTATGCATCCTGGAATGTTCCAGAAAGGTGCTTTCACTTCTCTATTCTTTCCTCTCTTTCACATTTTAAGGTCAGTACCAGTTTTCAACTTTTCCCGAAGCTCCCCCAGTTCTGACCACCTTCCTGCATTATTTGATAGCTGGTGTAGAGTTTAAATGACTCACCCATAAGCCCACAGAATCGATCAAAAGTTCTTGGGATTCTGGTTTGGGGATTGACTTCAATGAGAACATTTTTCTTGGTATGGATATAAACCTGCAGGAGCCCAGCCCGATTCAGGGGGCTGTCCATCAGCATCAGGAGACTCTGAAAGCAAAAAGCACACGGTAGCAGGAATAGAAATGCACAGGAGAGAGAACTCTAGGGAAAATTGAGGGTTAGCCCCCACAAATGCAGAAGGGGCCAATGCTGAGGCTGAAAGCTCATCCCACTATGGGATGCATCGCTATAATGCTAAGAAATCAAGCCCAGACCCAAACAGCGACTCAATCCAAAACCCACCAGCGCAGCGGGGGAGGCCGAACTCGGCCCCGGGCTCCAGGGCCACAGGCGGAGCCCCGGTGCCGAGGCACGATGGCCCCGGGCTCCAGGGCCACAGGCGGAGCCCCGGTGCCGAGGCACGATGGCCCCGAGCCGCCCTGCCGGGCTACCCCGAGCAGCCCCGGAGCCAGCGGGTACCTGGTGGGTGATGTCAGGCCGCACCTCCCCGGGGTCCCGGCCGTTCCGCAGCAGCAGCGCCTTGTGCTTGTCGCAGTTGAGCAGCTCGAACGTCTTCCCCACCTAGAGCCAAAGCACGGACGGGTCAGCGGGGAGCGAGAGCACCGCGGGCACGGCCGGACCCGCCCCGATCTCCCGCCGCGCGCACCTTCACGGTCTCCAGGCTCGCTCCCTCCAGCACGACCAGGAGCCGGCGCTGCCCGCGGGGCCGCTTGGCCCCCAGCGAGCGCCCTTCATCTTCCTCCTCCTCCGGCGCTTCCCCACGTGCCCGCCTGGGCGCCGCCATTTTGTCACGCGGCCCCGCCGGCCCCGCCCCGGCCCCGCCCTTCCCGCCGCGGCCACCCAAGATGGCGCCGGGGCGCGCTCTCTATCTGGCTCCGGCCGGACCCGCTTCCGGAGCGCTACGGCCGCCGCGCCGGAAGGCGAGTGCTGGGGGCGGGAAGGGGCAGCGGGGGCGCTCCCGGCGCCGCGGTTTCCCGCCGGAGCGGCACGGCTGTCGCTCCTTCCGGTGTCCTTCCCGGCGGGGGCGGCGGCGGCGGCGGCGCGGCCATGGCGCAGAACCTGAAGGACCTGGCGGGGCGGCTGCCGACCGGGCCCCGCGGCGTCGGCACCGCGCTTAAGCTGCTGCTGGGCGCCGGTGCCCTGGCCTACGGCGTGCGAGAGTCCGTCTTCATCGGTGAGTGGAGTCCCCCCCAACCGCTCGGATCCTTCGCGCCCGCCGCCCGTGCTAACCAAACCTCCGCTGTCCCCCCGCAGTGGAGGGCGGCCAGCGCGCCATCTTCTTCAACCGCATCGGCGGCGTGCAGCAGGACACCATCCTGGCCGAGGGGCTGCACTTCAGGTAGGGCCCGGCCCCCCCCGGTCCCCTCCCGGCCCCGGCGGGGCCCTCGCCCCTAACGCGCCTCCGCTCCCGCAGGATCCCCTGGTTCCAGTATCCCATCATCTACGACATCCGAGCGCGGCCGCGGAAAATCTCCTCCCCCACTGGTTCCAAAGGTGAGACAGAGGGGCCGCGAGGTGGGAGGCACGGGACAGGAATTCGGCCGTAGTTCTGGCGCTCCTCAGACACTTATGGAATGTTAAGGGCTTGGAACAGACCTTAAAAATCGTTCAGTCACAGTCTCCTGCCGCGGATAGTGACACCTTACACCAGACCAGGTTTCTCAAAGCCCCATCCGACCCGGTCGTGAGCACCTCCAGGGCAGGGCCATCCGCAGCTTCCCTGGGCAACCCGTGCCAGTGCCTCACCGCCCTCACCGGAAAGGATTTCTTCCTAATTCCCAACCAAAATGTCCCTCTCCCCGTTGGTGCTGCCTGCTCCCTGTCTCATCCCTGAGCCCTGGCTGTCCCCTGAGCCCCGCTGTCCCCGCAGACCTGCAGATGGTGAACATCTCGCTGCGGGTGCTGACGCGGCCCAACGCGGCCGAGCTGCCCAGCATGTACCAGCGGCTGGGGCTGGACTACGAGGAGCGAGTGCTGCCCTCCATCGTCAACGAGGTGCTCAAGAGCGTCGTGGCCAAGTTCAACGCCTCGCAGCTCATCACACAGAGGGCCCAGGTGAGCCTTAGCTCCGCTCACAGAGGAGCTGCTGGGTGGGGGGAGCCTCCTGGCAGGGGAAGGAAGGGTGACTGCCGTCAGCTGGGGGGCAGTGCATCCACGTGGGAAGCGTGTCCCACGTACAGTTTGATTCCAGTACAGGTGCAAATACTGTGTTGGCAGCTTCTGAGGAGGAAACTGGGTCTGTTGGTTCACAGAGTGCAAAACTGCACCAGAATGTAACACTAGGGGAGGGAGAGCTGGTTTGCTTTGTGTGTCTGTGGAACTGGCTTTAAGAATACAGATCTCAGAACGCTGTCAACAAGGTAGCTGTGACTGCCACAGCTTGAATACAGGCTGGCCACCCTCTTGCAACCAGATCCAATAATTTTAATAGATAAGCCACCAGCTTCCTGCTTCCCCCCAGTCTTGGGTTATTACTACATATGCTGTCCCTTCATTAGCATTAACAAACAGATCAAATGGTTTTCTTAAATTAGGCAGACTCAAAACTGGGGCTTTCGTTAATCATACTTTTAAGTCTTGGAACCGTTCGGTATCCTCCGACTTTGGGAGCAAATTAAGCAGTTTTGAAAGATCTGGAAAACAATGGGAAGGAGCAGTTAACAGTGCACTAACCTGTCAGTGATGGGTGCTTCAGAAAGGTAGCAGTAAGCTTCTGTTTACAGTCACAGAATGGGTCAGGTTGGAAAGGACCACAGTGGGTCATCTGGTCCAGCTTCCCTGCTCAAGCAAGGTCATCCCAGAGCACATGGCACAGGATTGCGTCCAGATGGTTCTGGAATGTCTCTAGTGAGGGAGACTCCACAAGCTCCTTGGGCAGCCTGTTACAGTGCTCTGTCACCTGCACAGTAAAGAAGTTATTCCTCATATTCAGGTGGAGCTTCCTGTGTTCTGGCTTCTGCCCATTGCCTCTTGTTTTATTGTTTGACATCACTGGGAAGGGCCTGGCTCAGTTGTCTTGGCACCCTCTCTACAGGCACTGATTAGAAAAAGCTTAGAGTGTCCTCTGGGGAGTGTTGCAAAATATTAGAAATATCTGGCTTAAAAATGCCTGTTTGTGAAAGTTTGTGTTGTAACAGTTTGATTGCCAGGGATTCTGAGAGTTCTTATCCTCTGTAGCAGCTGGTGCAGGGAGGGGGTGCTGGTCTTGTTGTAAAAGGTTTTAGAGGACCTCCTGCAGGACCAGGAGGGTGCTGAAGAGGAAAACTTGTTAGGTGAAATACAAAGCATCTCTCAGCTGTTGGAGACCACATCTCTGATCCATGTCAAAAGAACCAAAGAGTAGAACTGAGTGTTCTCATGTTTTGTTATAAGACATTATCTGCATCCCCCCGGTAAGGGGCTTCAGGGTTTTGTGCTCCTCCACATGGAGTGTTCTGGAGGGATTTGTTGGTTTTCATGTAGAAAGAGAATGTGTGGAGAGGATGGGACAGCAAAGAATATCTGTGAGGGTTTCAACTGTGCTGGAAGCAAAGGCTGTTAAGCATCTGTGATCTCAGATAAGAATGATTCTTTGATCTCTGAAATTTTGGAACAAACTGAATTGCATTTGTTTTCTTGTCATGTATCCATCCAGTGCTTGTTGTTATAAAGTGATGTGAAGGGATTGATAGAAAAAAAATCTGTGACTTCATGTAGTTGTGCACTCCCAGTTCACACAGGAAAGGTTTCTGTCTCTGTTTAGAGTTCTGCTCAGAAACAGCTGCAGTAAAAGTAAAAGCAAATGCTCGACTGGCCAAGCATGCGATACTGTAGCAATAGTTTCTGTTTAAGTCAATATTTGGTGCAGGACTTGTCAGGCTGCCTGAAAAAGGTGCTGGGAAGTAAGTGTGGAATAAATCAAAGTATCTAACAGCAACACCCACCCAAAGCAGCCAAAAAAGTGGAGCAGCTACACTAGACAAGTAGCTACTGTAACTAAGAGATGTGATACAGGTTAAAAAATTATGTGGTCATTTCTTTTTTTGCGTTGGAGTAGAGTTATGAAAGCACAGCCTCCAAACAGTGCCAAATCCAGGGTGGATAAAGAAATGCTTATTGCCAATACTGTGGGAACTATAGAACTGGATGTGTCAGGATGTGAAAGCAAAAGACACTTTCAAGGTTTTTTGCTTTCACAGTGTTACTTGCATAGAACAGTTTAGTAAATGAGCTGTGATAGAGTTTTGAAAATGCTTTGAGATGGTGTAGTAACTATAAATGAGCTGTGATAGAGTTTTGAAAATGCTTTCTGTGGCTGTGGATATGTTACTCAGAGGTGGTGTTGATGTCCTTGGTTTGGAGCTCGGGCTGGGGAATGTCTCTCCCAACACTGTGAAGAGCAGTCGTGCTTTGCCTTTGGAGTGCTCAGGAAGCGAGGAGCACCCTGTGCTTGGTGCTACTCTTGTTGCTGTGTTTGTGTTTCAGGTGTCTCTGCTCATTAGGCGAGAGCTGACAGAGAGAGCCAAGGATTTCAGCCTCATCCTGGATGATGTGGCTATCACAGAGCTCAGTTTCAGTCGTGAATACACAGCTGCTGTGGAGGCTAAGCAAGTGGGTGAGTTCCATTGGTGCCTGAAAAGGGTGGATTGCCTTTGTCTTTTCACTGAGTTATTAAACAAGGAGGTGGAATTCGGGCTAGTGTGTCACTGCTGTGTCACTGTATACGTTCAGGTACAGGGTTACAAGTCTCTAAGCCTCCTTAGTAACAGAGCTGAACAGGTTTATTTTGCAAGTGTTACCAGAAAGCAGTAGCTAATGGGATAGACCACCAGAAGGACTGAGTTCCCAAAACTAAGATTCCTCTTCAGACTGAGGCTCTGTCACTCACTGTGGGGGTTATGTGTGGAGGGTCTGGGTGCTGTGGGTTTTACTCAAGAAAAGGTAGAGTGCGCTCAGGTATGTTTTGTACTTGGATGTGGTCCCAGAATGTTACCGGTTCTTTGGGAAGCAGAGCCCCTGATCTCAGCTGTCAGGTTCTGATGGAAGACACAATGTGGTTCCAATGCCTCTGTCCCTTCTCCCCCCAGCCCAGCAGGAGGCACAGCGTGCCCAGTTCCTGGTGGAGAAGGCCAAGCAGGAGCAGAAGCAGAAGATAGTTCAGGCCGAGGGAGAAGCGACAGCTGCCAAGATGATATCCTGCTTCGGGAGATGTTGTGGGATGTGGCTTGGGAGCTTGGCAGTCCTGAGAATCTGTCACACTGGGCTCATGCTCAGGGGACTGTGATCGGATGATAGCTTCAAGTAGGTCACTGTTTTTTTCCCCCTGCTGCAGTCAGCTGGAGCGAGGTTCGTCTGAGGCTGCAGGTCAGAGCAGAGGCCGTGGGCCTGCGCTCTCTGTTGTAAAGTTTAACTTTTATTGGTTGTGTGTGACCGTAATCCATAATGTTCTTCATCTGGGCAGGTGAAAATATGCCTACCCAAAGGCCCACGTTACTGGGATAGAGATTGCTTTTTACCCACTAAGAAGTTCTTTAATATGGCTTAGGAAGAATTCCTTGAGGGTAAGCGGCTTCTGTTGGCGTGATTTTCCTTAACTTCCGTTCGTTTGTACCTCGGGGAAGCTCTCAGCAGGAATCCAGGCTACATCAAGCTACGTAAGATCCGAGCTGCTCAAAACATCTCAAAAACGGTGAGCGTTTGGGCACACAATTCCCTTTGTCCTTTTGCAGTCCTTGTGTCCCCCCACCCAGTGGCCACATGATGAATTTAAGGCGAATGTGATCTGCCCTGTCCTGATCTTTGTTCCTGCCCAGCCCTTCTTTGCTCAAGTTGAGCTTAAGACTTAGCAAGGATCTGCAATTAGATGTGAGGCTCAGAGTTCATGCCCTTCATATGACAAGGCCCAGATCCACATCAGATTCCATCACCCACCCTCAGCTGCGGCCACCAAAAGCTTCTGGTTGTCTGCAGCTGAGAAAGGGGGACAGATAAATGTGGGATCAAAGTTCTTTGTGACAGAGAGACAGAATGAACACTTACTTTAGAAAGTCTGATGGCTCTGGGATGGGAACTCAGGAAGTAGGGAGTTGTTTTGGGGAATTGCATTGATTTAAATGAGGTCTTAAGTAATTAACAAGAATGCTGTATCTGAGGAGGGAGATGGGTTCCTAGAGCTGTTCCTCCATATGGATTTTTAGTCCTTGATGCCATGTCTGTAATGCATTTCCTTTTCAGATTGCTGCCTCACAAAACCGTGTGTATCTCACAGCAGATAACTTGGTACTGAACCTGCAGGATGAGGCCTTCACCAGGTAAAGGGGCTGGGTGCCTGGGTTTGTCTGCACCCTACCTGGGAAGCTGCTCCCCTTTCTGGAACTCTCTCAGCATCTTTTTCTGAGGGGAGCCTGATGCCAGAGGGTATAGCCAAGTAGCGAGCAGCCTCTCCTACTCTGGGAATGGGGATTTTTCTTAAATCTCATCAATTTACTCTTGGTTTTTTTTTTTCTTTCCCACCCTCCACTCCTTAACTGCATCTGCTGACACAGAGGAAGGTAAGGCACTGTACATTTTGATCCTTTTGTTAGTACTGGAACCAGGGTGTTGCTGTTTTCTGGTGCCTGGGATGTTTCTGGCCAGGACTGTTTGGGCCCAGCAAGTTTATTCCAGTCTCTACCTCAATTCCCATTTGTGATGTGAAACTCGAAGCTTTCCTTGCAGAGAACCACACAAACATATGCATGGAATGTGCAGTAATTGGAGCTCCATGTGTGCCTCGTAAGGAGCCTTGCCTGGGAAAGGCAGCAGTAACTGTGGAGCCTTCTCTGAGCTATCAAATGTACAGGGCATCCTGTGGTTATGGCAAACAAGGCTGTAAGGAGGCAGGCAGATGATCTTGGGAATTTGTGGTGGTTTGGGCTGATGATCTCTAGGGAAGATGCTTTTGTTATTCTCCAAAAGCTTTCCAGTTATGCGAGAACACCCCATTTCCTGCTTTCAGAGCTGTCAGGAGTTTGGTGGCTTTGCCTAATTTGTCCAGTGTTTACTGAAAAAGGCAGTGCCAAAGGAGCTAACAGGATGCAGCTAAAAGCTTAGATTTCTCAGAACTGAGAAGAGAAACCAGAGTTGGTTTCTTTCCTCTGGGATCTTTGATTATAACGTCATTCTTCCTCACCTCTGACCAGATTCTGTTATATTTGTTCCGGAAGATTTAAGGGCCTTTGGAAAAAAAAAAACACCTGCCTAATAGGAAGGACTTGGAAGTCCAGATCCTTTGGGTGTGCCCCATACCTCAGAGTCCATATTGAGGAGCTGGTACAGCTTTGCTTGTACTTTCTGGTGACTTGTACTGATGACTCCCTTCTGTCTCCCTTTCAGTGACAGTCTCCTACTCAAAGGGAAGAAATGAAAGAAGCTGAAGATTCCTAGAACCAGCGTCGCTGACCAGCAGAAGATAAGAGTGAGGATCTTTGAACTCCCTCCACTAGTATTGTTTGTCCTCACTATGAAGTTTTTAATACTGTTGCCAGATTTTGTCCCCATGCCTCTGCTTCCATCTGTGGTGATTCAGTTACAGGAATGGGCTCTGCCTCTAGGCAGCTGTAATTCTTTCCTCATCCCACCAGTTAAATTTGGAGAGGGGGCAAAGGGGCTTACTGGTATTATTAACCCACCTGGATATTTGCCTCTAATCTTCCTTAATATTTAGATTTGTGTAGGATATCAAATTATTTTTTGGCCAAGTGAGGGAGTTCTTCTGCCATCAGCACCAGGCTTTTTTTCTAGTAAATTTTGTTTCTCTTTCACTCTTGATCCCAAGAGAACCTGGGACTGAATTCAGGACAATGCCATTCATTGGGTGCCTGTCACTGCTGGAATATCTTACTTGTGTCACTGTCTGCTCAGTGATGCTTTCAGATATTTGTAAAAATTAAAAAAGAAAAAAAAAAACAACCCAACCAAATTTTTATTGTGTCTAAGTGTGCTTAGTGCATGGGGAAAAAAAGTGGTTATTTTATGTAGTGGGAGGTGGAACAGAGATTTTATTGGTTGAAATTAGAATGAGGACGATGAAGGGAAAGGAACAAAAGAAAGAAATACACTTGTGGTCACTGACAGATCATCACAGTGTGGGGACAGAGGAGAGATGTTTGGGTGCTCCTAGAGCTGTGGGGTGACCAGGACTGATTCCTTAGGTGCCTGTAAGGGCTGCAGATGAGGGTAGGTTTACCTGCTTTTCCAGGTCACAGAAGCATCTCTATGCTGTGTCCTGGCTCCCTGGGCTTTTTCCCCTCTGCTTTCCTGGCTGAAAAGTGGAGGCGAAATCTTCCTCCACTGACTAAACTCTACTTTGCTTGTGTTTCAGCAGCAAGATCTTGTGTTCTTTAGGGAGAGCTTCTTTGCTGTTTCTCTGGGCTGCCCTAAGATTTAAGGCTTTGAGGTTATCACAGCATCATAGAATTGTAGAATTTCTGGAGTTGGAAGGAACTCATTGTCTAAACACATCTTCAGCAGAGACAGACTAGGGTCATGACTGCTTCCCTGGGAGCTTGGCCACCCTGTAAATTACCCTTTTTTCTGATATCCAACCTGAACTTCTCCCTGTGCAGCTTTAAGCCATTCCCTGTGTCCTGTTGCTGGACACCAAAGAAAAGAGATCAGCACCCTCCTGCTGCCCCTGATGAGGAGGTATTAGGTCAGCCCTTGGTCTTCTCCAGGCTGAACTAACTTTGTATCCTCAGCTGCTCCTTGTAAGTCACACATTTCCTTGTTGTCTTTGTTGCCCTCCTTTGGACACATTATAATATTTTTATATCCTCCTTGTATTGTGGAGCGTGAAGCTGCACACAGTGATGGTGAGGCTGGATCTGAGTGCAGTGGGACCCTCACTTCTCTGGCCAGTTAACTATTCTGTGCCTAGCACACCCCAGCATAACACACCTGGCAGGCCCTGCCATCACTCAAAATGCCCAGAGCCTTTTCTGCAGGGCTGCACCCCAGTCTCATCCTTCAGTCTGTATTCACATGTGGGATTGCAGCATTCCATGTGCAGAATCTGGCATTTGTTCTTGTTCAGTTTTGTGTGGATGAAATTGTCGGGATTGCAGCATTCCGTATGCGGAATCTGGCATTTGTTCTTGTTCAGTTTTGTGTGGATGAAATTGTGTACACGTCTGGCTGTCCAGAGGGATATGGTAACACTACTAAAAACTTTGCCAAAACTAAGAAAACACCCCACATCTGCCTTCCCTTTGACTACTAGGTGGGTAGCCTTGTTGTGAAAGGTTATTAAATTTGTAAGGCATGACTTTCCCTTCAAGAACTCGTGCGCATTTTGACCAATGACTGCGTTGTCTTTCAAGTCTTTTTCTTGAAGCTTCCAGACTAATTTTCTCCACAGTTTTACCAGGCACCAGAGTGACACTGATTGACCTGTAATTACCAAGATCTTCTTTCTTGCCCTTCTTGAAAATTGGAACAACATTTGCCAGCCTCCGTGTCAACTGATACAGATTCCCAAGGCTGTTGATTAATAACTGAGAGAGGTCTCACAGTTATATTGGCCAACTCTTCAGTACCCTGGAGGAATCCCACTGGGCCCCATAGACTTAGGTGCATTCACTTGCAGCAGCAAATCCCACACAAGTTCAAAGTCAGCTGGAGTTCATCATTCCCCCAGCCATGGCCATCCAGCCCAGGCCTCCAGACACCCCCATCACCAGTGTCAGAGGAAGAAGCAAATGCAGCATTAAATGTGTCTGCTTTGTCACTGTTCGGGGATGAGGTGACCCACCTCATCAAGTGACATACCTTTAGTGTTCCTTCTGCTCTTAACACACTTAAAAATGCCTGTTATTACCCACCATAGTACCAGCCAGCTTCAACTCGGGCTTGGGCTTTTTTTCCACTAGAGTGGCAAGGAGCATGTCTTCCCTCTGCATAATCTGTCCTTTCCCAAGTCCATACACTTTCTGCTAAGTAGCAGAAGGAGATCCTTGCTCAGCCAAGCCAGCCCTCAGCCTCACTGGCTACACGTCTGAGATGTCTGCTCCTGTGCTCTTGAAAAGAGGCCCCTGTCACCCTGATTTTGTAAGACTTTGTTAAACCTTTTGATGTTTGCATTCTTTCAACAAACTTTCTCACACACAGTTCTGTAAATAACCTATGTTTTACATTCTTTCATAGAAGTAGGGAGAATTGATAGACCCTTGGTCTGTCCAGTGGCATTGGAGAGGTGGCACTGTCACCCTCCAATCCACTGTCACCTTTGAAAAACTATAAATGTTAGAGTCAAAAAATAAAGTTCTTCTTCTTCCTTTTTGTTCCCCTTGAGAGCAGCAGTGTCTGTGTCATCATTTCGTGCCGTATCACAACAGGCCCCTTAAAAAGTGAGTGGCTTTTATGTGCCCCACTATCCTCTAAAGCATATTCCCAGGGGACCTGACTAACTGCTTCCCTGCAGCCTAAAGTCTGCTCTCCCCAGGTCCAGGGCAGTAGCTTTACTTACAGTTTTTCTCCTAGTACCAGGATTTCAAACTCAGCTACTCATGATCATGATGGTCAAGACAGCCACGCCCATGACCATGTCTATTTACAACCAACCATCTCTTTTTACAAACAACTCCAACTTGAGCGCTCCAGGGAAGAAAAGAGGCCTTTAGGGACTTCTTCCTTGGTGAAGCAGAGCACAAGATGTTTAAAGGAACAGATAAAATCTATGGATTCCTGGTTTAAAGCTTCCTGGCAGTCAGAGCTATAACTATAACCCATATGTTTTGACTTGCAGCATCAAGGAAGCACAAACTCTTTGAAGCAGCTTTGAAAATGCATTCTCAAATAGTCACCCCAAAGTATTTGTGTGTAACAGATCCTGTGTCAAGGAAGAGTAGACTGCTTATGACGGTGCTGTATTTCTTGATGTGCAGTCAGGAAAGTTTTTGTTCAGTCTAATTTTTTGTAGACCAGACATTATGGACACTTTAAGCTCAGGGATTTGAACACAAATAAGGTTCTCAGTAATCTGAGCTTGTTCCACAAGATGTCTTCATTTTCAAGCTTCAGGTAAAGTTTAAGCTAACCCTTGGTATACCTTGCTTTAGGCTGTGGCAGCTTTTTAAGAAGGAAGACAATTGGGGCCTGTCCTTTGAAGCTACCCAGAGGTTTCAGGCAAAGGTATGTGTTTCTTTAGGCTAGGACTTTAGCCCCTTCCCATTGTTTAAAAGAGGGTATGTGGCATCATGAAACACAGTACATGTCCCTCCACCCATTTTTACTTCTGCCCCTTATTTCCCCCACTGCCTCTTTCCTGTTTCTTCCTCTAGTGGCAATGGAATAGCAAAGCCAGTTGGGAAATGCACACACAGGCCTATGGGATCACAGGCTGAGGGAAGCTGAAGTCCAGCACACGGAAAGAGCATCTGCTCACAAAGTGTCTTCTGCCTTCCAAATGCTTCCAATCAGCTTTCTTGCCATATCAAATGACAGCAAGCAGTGACCTTCCTCCCAATGCATTTTGTATAAATCGTGGTGGGAAGGGGGCTCTGGAGGCCTTTGGAGCAGGCTGCTGCTGGAAGCGGCACTGTTACCAGCACGAGGTCAGAGCAGCTGTGGCTTTGTCTGTTCACATATTGAAAACCCACAAGTAAAATTTAGATATAGAAGCTGTGTCAGAGTTTGTCATACCTGACTTTCCATGCTCAGACTTCGCTGCTGACTACCAACACTTGAGCTTCATAGCAAGGAGCCACCATAATTGGTCACAGCTTGCATGTAGCTAACAGGAAATCAGGTAAACTAAGCTGGAGCCATCCTTCTAAGTCTCTGCAGATCTGCAGGTGAAATCAGGAAGGTTTCACCTGCACACTTAAAGAAGAAAACCTTTTGGGACCTGGTAGTCAAACAAAAACAAGTTTATTTACAAAGAAGAAAACATGGCCATCACATCAAATTCTGGTATATTTACAGCGTCCAGGTGAAGGATGAGATAGCAAAAGGATAAGAGGGGCAGAAGGTTGGTATTAAAGAAAGAGGAGGTCTCCTGTTGAATTGCAGAGGAGCTGATCTGAAACAGGCCAAAACCTCCATACTTGAAAAGCTGAAGCTTCAGGGAACACAAACAGGATAAACTCAACTCACGGCAGTGGGCAGAGATGTAGCTCCTGGATTGACCTTCCTTAGCTCTTCCCTGAGAATTCCACTCAAGCTGACAGAGCAAAGGTGAGTTTGGGCCCCAGTGCTCAGGGAGCAAGGGAAGGTGGGGCGTGACCTTTTCCTGCTAATGGATGAGGAGGGGGCAGCGAGAGACTTAGCTCGCCTGCACGGGCAAGGGACCTTGGAGTCGGTCAGCTGAGCTGGAGAGCGCTCTGGTTCACGGCGCTGAAAGCTGGCACGGAACAGAAGGGGAAGGCTTCGTTCCAGTGCAAGAGCAAGGAATGCGAGACAGGCCAGCTGGGATGTGAGCTCCAGTCCTGCAGCCCAGGTTCAAACCCCCATGGGGGTACCTGCAACATATGATTATTTTTTCTTTAGTGAGCCTTTCATCTTCTTCTCTGAGGAGCGTTGTTTCCGCACCTTCTCCTCCTTTTTCCCCAAGTTTTCATACACTGTTGATTCCTCTTTCTGCCTGTAAGACCAGGGAAAAAGTGAGGAAGAGGAAAAAGCCAGCCAAGGCAGCAGGCAGACTTGCCAGGGGCAGGCAGAGCTGGGCCTGTGCTGTAGGTGAGCTCTTACTTGGAGGGTTTTCGCGAAACCTTGGGGTGCGCATTCCTCACTGCTGGGGGGTAGGCGATGTTCCCATACTCGCACTCGTTTGGCTTGCCTTTCTGAGACTGCAGGAGGGGAAAAACAGGCTTAGAAGAGTGTGGTCTGGGAGGTGCACTTGAGGCACCATGGGCTGTTAAACCCCACTTTGTGCTAGGATCTCAGTGGAAGTTGGTGGATTGCTGAAGTGCCTGGGCTCAGCACACTGCCACTGGCCAGAGGTGAGCAGCCTTGTGCAGGAGGCAGCAGTGGGGAAACAAATCTCTGGAGGCACTAGAATGCCCAGAAGTCCCAAATTTCTGCTAAAGAATATAAAAACAGCCAGAGCTATAGTATGCAGCCAGAAGCTACAAGGAAAGAGAAAAGACACCACTTATCAAACAGCAGGAAAAGATTTTGCAGCTGCAAAACTAGGATGTGAAAGACAAAGAGGAAAGAAGAGGCAAGGAAAGTCTTTGCTTGTCCTAAACTAAGTTTGTAACAAAACAGCACTTGGTGATATTATTCAGAACATAGTTAAAGTAACTGCATTAAAATTTAACTGCTGTCTAGCAGTTCAGAAGGGATTGGTACTTGAACTGCTAATGAACTTGTCCCCTGAATTTAAAAGTCTTAGAAGAGAGGAACAAGGACACAGATCTTACTGCACTATTGTAGTCTGTGTAGGTCTCAGTGTTAGCTTAAAACTTCTGAAAGAGCAGTTGGGCTCAGAGCCAGCAGCATGAAGGGCTTAGGCTCACAGGGAAGTAGAGCCCCTTTTCTCTCACCTGAATAACTTCCAGCTTTTTCTTGGTTGCCTCTATGAACTGGCAGATGGCCATGTAGATGAACTTGTACTGGGCCTCTGTCTGCACCATCCCAGATCGCTGGGCCCTCACCATCTGGATGGTCTTCTGGATGTCAATGTCACAGTCCAGCCCTAGCAAGGAGCACCAGAAAAGTTTACGGACATATTCACTGCCCCCTCGCCCAACTCTCTACCAAAAGCAGCCACAGTGGACAACAGGCATGAAGTTTCCATCTCCTTCCATACTCTTTATTCCTGTATGGACCTCCCAGCTCTCCCCCTGCTCAGTATCTTTGAAGTCTGGCCTTGAGGAAAAGCCAAAGCTCAGGGAAGGCTAAAGCCATAAGTGGATATGGAACAGAGATACAGCAGAACAACTTAGGGCTATGGCAGGATCTTCTCCCACTGACAGCTGATAGTTTTCATCCCTCTGCAGCTGAACTTAAAGGCAAAGTCCTACGGGATAGTCCAGTTCACGTTGAGATCCTTTAGGATCCTCTTACCCTTGGTGGAGATTGTTTCCACTATCATATCAATGACGATGATAGTCCCAGTGCGGCCAATCCCAGCACTGCAAGGAGAGGACAAGCAGAGGTCAGAGCAAGACAGCTCCTGAAACAAAATGCAGCTGCTTCTGGGGAAACATGTGCCTCTTGTAGCAGCTGTTCAGCAATGCCACAAAAGAGTCACGGGTTCAACAGGTAGAGAGTTTGGTGTGGGGGCACTGAAGAAGAAAAAAGCAAATACTGGGACTGGCATATGCTTCACTCACAAGTCCTGGGGTAGAGCTGGAAGACTTTCTGTATCTCACCCTAAATAAGGGATGGAGGATGCTTCAACCTCCAGCCTCTGTACCAACCTGCAGTGTACCAGAATAGGCCCTGCGTTGGGGATGCTCTCTTGCTTCTGGTTTATCTGGTCAAGGAAGCTGAGGACTCCTCCCGGCTCACTGGGTACACCATGGTCAGGCCAGCTCAGGTACTGGTATTGCCAGATCTCACGCACAGCCTTGCCCTGAGAAGAGCAAAGCACCCCACTGGTAAAACTGCAACCCAGTCCTGTCCCTGGCCTCTGTCCCAGGGAGAGGTGAGTCTGGAGCCAGAGACAATCTGTCTCACTTCTTAGTGATTCCACCAGTGTGATTCCAGCTCAGACCAGGTGGGAACAGCAGCCCCAGGAATGCTAAAACAGCAGCATGGTCACAGCACCCAGCAGTTCCCAGGTGTAGGTGTATGGGGGCTTGGGTGGCAGCCCTTGGTCAGGCACACTCACGTTATCCTTGGGGCACACACAGAGGTGCCGGAGTTTGTACTCCAGTGCATCGTGCTCCCCAGCGTTCTGCACAAGGTAGGGACCATATTCCTTCGTGCTGCCCAGCTCTGGCCAGTAAGGCACACATTTGTTCTGTGTGGGCAGAGAGGGCAGGGTGAGGATGGGCAGAAAGGAGAGAGAGAAAGCAGAGCAATGGTTGAAAAGGAAGACTGCTACTTACCCGGCCTTTTTCCACCTCCCGTGTTGTCATCACAATAATGCGTGTGTTCTCCTGCCACACCATTTGCCACAAGTCATTGACTGTGGCATCCAGGCACCCCTGGCTGGCGATGTAGGTCTTGGTGCACTCATCTGGGCTGATCAAGGTGTTCTGAGTGCAGACAGGGGAGGGTCAGGAGGGCTGCAGGAGCAGCAGACCTTCCCCTGCTTTGGCACTGTTGTGGACAAGCACACAGCTGTCTTTCAAGAATCTCACCTTGACATAGTTGGCATTGATGTAGTCAGATCCAGGTATATTTGGGTCTCTTCCCTGGAGGATGACTCTGGAGTGATCAACTGGGGGTGCAGTGAAGGAACGAACAGTGCAATGAGATACTCCATGTACAGCCACACAGAGCTCCCTCACTACCCTGTGCCACCTCTGTCATGATTCCCAGTAATGCCCCATATATCCTCAGCTCTCCCTCTCTGTGTCCATCTCACTCTGTCCTCCCATCTCTCTGCCTCTGTGATGTACCACAGAAGCTAATGAGTCTGATGCAACCCTCCCTTCTTCCTTCAAGGACAGGAAAAGGCTGTGACCTCCCTCATCAGCTCTTAATTCCTCAGTGCCATACACCTTGTACCCTGCTCTGGAGGACAGAGTGGGCTGAGGCAGGGATGGCTTGGACAATTCTTCATTGCCTGTCTGTCTGTTTGGGTTTATTTTATAGTGGAGAAGCAAGACTCACAGGGCAATATGTTCTTGTATCGGTTCTTGCTCTTATTTTCAGGTCTCTGGCCCTCATGACGGTCAAACAGGTGCTTGGCTTCCTGTTTTTGCAGGCTCTGAGAGCAGAAGAAAGAATAGTCACGGCAAGGTCACAATGTATGGCAGGGGAGGTGGGCACTAGGAGGCACAGTGGTGGCTCTGATGACACAAGGGCATGCTGTGGGGGAGCAGAGAAGTGAAAACCAAACCTAGACTTGAGAAGTCTGAGGCTTGAGCCCTTACTGTCTTGGTGACTCACTCTCCCAGCCATAAAAAAGCACATTTCTACATCACTGGGTTCACTTAAAGATGAGACTCATTCCCCAGGGGAACTGGTTCCAAACAGACATTTCTTTCAGAAATAAATTGACAAGACACAAGAAATTTTTGTACAGGAAGAAATGGAGGACGGAGAATGAGGTGGTGCATGCAGAATTGCCAAAAAGTCAAATAATGTCCCCCAGCAGTTTCTTACATCAAATTCCTCCCAGAATCCAGCCTTGGACGTCTCCTCAGACAGACTTGTCTTCTTGTTCAGTTCCTGCACTCTGTTCTCAATGTCAGCAGCATTCACCCTCGTAGCATAGTAGGGCTGGGGATGGGAAAACACAATAGGTGAGAGAGAGAGAGAGAGAGAGAGAGATGCTGCTGGAAAGCAAAGTGTCCTCTGTGCACCATGGAAAAAAGAAGGAAAGGGACACAAAGCAGAAAAAACCTACAAATCAGTCCTCCAAAGGGTACCTAAAAACCAGGAAACTGAACTTACCTGCTTCAGGTACACAAAGGAACCAGATATCTCTTCAATTCCAATCTTCTTGAAGTGCTCCACCAGATCTGTCAAGCTGTCAAACATCTCAGCCCCTCCAATTGTGTAGCGTCCATTCTAAACAGAGGAAGAATGTGTAATGTCTCACTCATAACATTCATAGCAGAATCCTGGAATAGTTTGGGTTGGAAGGCATCATAAAAGGCAGCTAATTCCAAACCCCCTGCCATGAGCAGAGACACCTTCCACTAGACTGGGTTGCCCAGAGCCCCCTTCAGCCTCACCTCAAACATTTCCAAGAATGAGGCATGCACAGTTTCTCTGAGAAATCTGAGCCAGTGCCTCACCAACCTCACAGTATTTTTTTCCTATTAAACCATCTAAACCTGCCCTCCTTCAGTTTGAAGGCATTTCCCCTTGCTCTATCACTCCATGCCCTTGTAAAAAGTCCCCCTCCAGCTTTCTCATGAGCCTCCTTTAGGTACTGGAAGGTGCTGTAAGATCTCCCCAGACTCTCCAGGCTGCACAGCCCCCACTCTTTCCAGCTGTCCCACAGACAAAGCTTATAACACTCAGGAAAAAGGCAATGCTGGGGTGCAGATCCATAGGCACCACCCTGCACCATCTAGGAAAGCATTTGCTCTGGCAGGGAGGTCAGAGGAGTTTGCCCTGAGCACACAGAGTTCATGGCTCCGTGCTCTTGCTGTAGTGCTCTCAGTAGATCAAAGCCCAGAGAAGGTAATTGCCCTCCAATCCCATTTAAGGCCAGTTGCATTCTCTCCTTGGAATCTCATTATCCCACATGAAAGACATAGGAGAAATTGTCACAGCCATTTTGGTAACATCCATCAGACCACTGCCTCTCCTCCTGCCCTCCCACTGCTCACCTCACACATGATCTTGATGTGTGTGACTTTGAGCCGGGTCCCAGAGGCACCGGTTGCCCCAGCTGGAGCATCAGACCCAGGTTTAGGTTGGTCGGTGAGGACAGACAAGACAAAGTCCCCAGGTTTGCTGAGGCTCTCCCGCACCAAGAAGGTCCAAGGGGTAGCTTTGGCCTGGAGCAGTGACTCGGCTGCAGGGCCTGACAGATGCCCATGGTACCACCTAAGAAAAAACACGAGAGGGTCAGAAAAGAGGTGGAGATGCAGGAAGTGGATGCCCTTGAGCTGATGAGTGAAGAACAGCAACACTGGGGAATGGTGAGGGAGGAGGAAAGGAAGGGGGAGACAGAGAGGAAGGAATGAGAGAGGGAAGGAGGAGCAGGATCTTGGGAAAAGCATATGAGATAGAAGGTGGAGAGCTGGGCAGAAGAGGAAAGTGCAAGGGATGAGGCAGAGACAGAAGGGACCTAGGGAGCAGAAGGCTGGTACCAGAGGACACAGCGGGAAAGCACCAAGTGTGATCCATTGTGTGACACACATAGGCACAGCTTAGTGATAGTTTCTGCCTGGAACACCAGTTGGGAGAGGGTAGTCTGTGTGTTTCAGCACCTCACAGTATTATTAGGACTGTTGCCTTACTGCAAGGGTCTCTGGAAACTCAAACACCAGGGAAACAGAAATAAGCCCCCACTGAGTCAGAAAATCTCCCATCAGCTTTAGCAGCACCCAGATGGTTGTGTTGAGATCAGATCCATTAAAGAACCATTCCAGCAACTCCTCTTTCTGAAACTCAGTCACCTCTTCACTCAAAAGATAATTCCCATTCTCTGAGCACACCACACTGCAGCAATCACCCTGGCCATGGGAGTGAGCACAAGGAGCTGATCCATGTGCACATTCTTGTCCTCAGTACAAACACTCAGCAGCTCCTTCTCTCTTCCCAGCATAAGGTCAGGAGCATCCCCATTTGACCAAGTGTTCCCTGCCTTGCCATGGGGATGTGGGAATGGATTTACTTCCCATGGAGCAGCTAACAGGGAAGGCCTGGCATGGTACTGGTGAAGTTCACATTGTTAGGGGGCTATTTGTTCCCATGAACTGAGATGGAGTTCACAGCCCCGTCACAGAGGCAGCTGGGGCATTTATTCATTCTCCCCTGCATCTGGTCAGAGCAAGGGGTTGCTCTACGTACAGCAAGAGGTTCACACAGTTATCAGGCTCAGCAAGTAACTTGTTGACCCTCACCTCATGCAAGAAGCAGCTGATGACTCTCACTGCACGGTTGTCATTAATTTCTGAACCTCCTCTCAGAGAATTGTTCAGCCACCAGGTGCTCAGATGCCACCTTGGGATCGGCTGGCCCCTCCTGCCCATCAAAGAGGTCTCCAAGTCTCCCCTCCCCACAGGTAGGAGGGGGTTAATGGGTCCCATTCCTCCTCCCCCAGCAAAGCCCAGCTCTTCAAAGCCACGTGATGGAAAATCACTTGGGGAGAGAGTGAGAGGAGCTTTCGTAAGAGCCCGAGGGGGGGAGGGGGTAAGTTTCCAACCGCAGGAGGAAGGGAGGAAACTGCAGGGCCACCAAGCAATGGCCTTGACTGGAGACGACAGCCAGCAGCAGACCTGCCCCTCTGCAGCCTGACCCCAGAGCAAGCTGGGGTGTACCCTGATGTTTTGGCCCAGGGCATCTCTGCTCCCTGCCTCCAGGTGCCCGAGGAGGACCTGTGCAAGAAGGACTTGTCACCCCAGAGCAGGGCATGACAGCTCCCCCGAGCTGCATCAAAGGGTCTGAAAGCAAAAAGCAAGGGCAAAACCACCTGATTTGATTTAGGAACTTGGTGTCAGAGACACATGCAAAGCGGGGACAGGAAGGAGACTAAGCAGGCCAGGAATAGCAGGGGAACATGGTCCTGCTCGCAGCTACGTGAGTCACCCAGGCCTAGAATAACCAAGGAGGTTTGGGGCACAACTGAGGGCTTCCACACAACGTGCCCCTCCGCAGACCACTGCAGACCCACACCAGACACCGCAACCTTTTCTTTCAGAAACAGTGTATAAATAGCAAAGGCAACCGGAAACCAGAAGTAAAAATAGATCCCTACAAGGTCTGCTGTGATGGATCAAGGTACACACAGCTATTCCTGGGGATGCTTCCCCCTTGGACACAGAGGAGGTTAAGAAAGGCAGGAGGGATTTTTTGCAGGATTTGCTCTGGGGATGCAGGCAGGACAGAAAGGAGGCCATGAAACATTAATCACAGACACAGCAGGTCCTTGCTGTGCCTGTACCTCTCTGTCGTGGGGTCAGAACAGTTGAGCGGGTATCGCAAGTCGATGATGGTTCCATCTTTGTCCTGCAGCGAGCCCTGTTGCTGTGTGTAGTACTCCACCAGTTCTGACAAGGTGGCAAACTTCTCCCCTCCATACAGGTCATAGAAATCCCCAGTATTCTGGATGCGGATGTGGGTTACCTGATCACCAACCCTGTGAAATAAAGCACAAGGCAGTCCAATGAGGTGGTTGGAAAAAGGGCAGGAAAGTGTCCTGCACTACCTCCCACCCACGGAACCAGAGCAAACCCTCTCCGTGAATGGAGATGACTGGAAAGAGAAGCTCCTTGGGCAACTTGAGGGAGGCTCTAGAAGACACTGGGAAGCTGAGGTCATTTTACAGTTGGGAAGAACTCAAAGGAATAGAGACAGGATGAAGAAGATGCCACAGGACATGTGAGGATCCAGGCAGTGTATGTAACACTGCAAAGACAGAAGCTGGGGTCCAAGTTACTTACCGGACTGAAAGGGAAAAATCCCCCTGATTCCTCCGACTGGGTCTGGCCAGGAAGCTCCCATGGACACCTCGTCCCTTCAGTAAGGCTTCAGCTTCCAGCCCACTCAGGTCACGGTGAAACCACCTAGCAGAGAAAATAAAAGCAAGACCAAGTGAATAACAAAGGCCAGGCACTATTGTGGAGATTTGTAGGGTGAAGAATGGTCCCCGGTCAGCATCCCTAGGTGAAAACCAGCAGCAGCATCCCTTCCTGCCTAATGCCTCCCCCAGCTTATGGACGGTTCCCATTAGAGATACGGCTTCCAGGGCCATCCCTGCCCTCATCCATCCTACTTCCCTGCTCCCATTCCTTACACACACAGACCTCTCAGACCCTCTTACCTCACCATTGTGGAGGGAGAAAGAAGAGGTGGCCAAGTGGCTGCCACTGAAGCAACCCAAAAAACACAGAGGAAAAATCAGTTTGCGCTGGAAAGGGAAGTCGGAGGTCTGTGCTGAGGCACCCAACGCCAAACTGTTCCTGTGCCTCTTGGGAGCTGGCCATGTATCTCTCCTGGAGTCGACTGTCAGTCCATTCAGACCCTCTCCATCCACATTTTCCTGGGCAGGTGCCTCGATCTCTGGCCCGCTGTGCAGTGCTGCTGGGCACGGGCAGGCGCGAGCCCGTACACAGCGGGGCACGCGCAGCTCCGGGAACAGGAAGCGCTCTGAGCCATCCACTCCGCAGCCCCAAGCTGCTTTGCATACACTTCTGCTTCTCCTTTTGTGTCTTTCCTCCCCATAGCCCCTATTATTTTTGGGTCCCTGTCTTTAGCACACAAGGGCTGACTCTTCACATGCATCTTGGGTTCTGGCCGTGTTCACAAAATTCAGTTCTGCTCGTCCTCTGTTCCCCTTTTCCTCCAAAAGGCCAACGAGCAACACAAATGGTCCTAAATGTCCCACGTGCTCTGTACAGGCACAGGGGGGAATCCATGTGAATCCAGAGCTGCAGACTTCAAGGTCCAGGCTAGTGCTCTAAGCACAGCCGTGCCTGCCTGAAACCAGCCTGCCATGGGATGGGACTGGCACAGGCAGCTCAAAAGGGAAGGGGAGGTTGGGAGAGGGTGGTGATGCTGCCCAGGAAGGCAGGCAGAGACCAGGACAAATAGGTACTACCTACAGGGAGCCCACACAGCACTGAGGGAGCTGAGCCAAGGACCTTCAAAATCCCAGCATCCCATGCTGAGGCCAAAGCTGACAACCTGGACAACCAGGTATAAAAAGAAGGAAAACCATTCCAGTCACCTAGCTGCTTCCAGTTGTGGCCCACAACACTGGCTTCAAGGTCTGCAGGGCTGGTGAAAGAATGGAAGCTAAGCAGTGGCATAAGAGTGCAATCCAGCTGGCAAAGGAGCCTGGCTTTTCCCTGGGGCCATCTCAGCTACCCTGTGTGCTGTGGGCAGCAGCAACAGCAAGAGCCTTGCTCATTTCAAGCAGCAGCAGCTGCAGACTTCCCCACATACCACCAGACTGGGAAATCCTGCAAAAAGATGAACAGGCTGCTAGCTAAGACCTAGACAAAAACTCGTGGCCAAGACAGAAACCAGCAACAAAGGGAAGTACAGGAGAGAGGAGTGGGAAGCTAAACTTCATTGCTAGAAAGGCAACCCAGGCACCTACAACAGCTTCCTTAGAAATGCTTCTGGTTTCATGCACATGGTGAGCTGGGGTGCAGTGAGCTGCAGGCAGCCAGAGGTACTGACTTAGAACTGATATTAAAAACCAAGGAGATTTTAAATGCACAGGACCAACTCAAGGGAACAACTGCACAAAGTTGCAGAAGTTGCACCAGAAAGGCAGCACTTAAATCAGTCTAGCAGGAACAGGAAACAAGTAATGTTTATTGCCAAGGGAGAAAAGGCAGGAACTTCCAGAAGTCCCAAAAAATAATTCCAGATATCAAAAGCATGTTAGAGTATGCTGAGTCAATATGAAGCCAAGGCAGATGAAAACCGAAACTTAGGCATCCCTGCACCCTACACTGAAGGAGAAAATCTGTCTGAGGAACTGAACATTAGCTGGGCAGAGGGGAACAGGGGAAGAACAAGGTAGCAAAGAGCCCAGACCAGAATAAGAAAGGGTGAGTGAGCATTTATTCCATGGAACTCAGTATCCTCCAGAAGGACAAGCCACAGGGTGCAGTGTAATCTCTTGATGGTATTTTTGTGGACAAAAATCCCATCTCACCTAATTTACAGGATGAGTTTATGCTTCTGCTTTCTTTCATTTTAGGAAAGGAGTGGATGCATGCAGCCGCTCTGGTGTCTTTGATCTGGGCCGTCCAATTAAAATCTACCAGTAAGGGACGGAAATGTCACCACAGAGAAGCCATCAGTCGGTATCTTCGAGACTGCTCTCCCAAATGGCTGCAGCATGGAACAGCTGAGCCACTAAATATAATAAGGCTATAATTGAGCCACTAAAACACTTTTTTAGTGTAATTAGGAGGTCAAGAGATTTCAGCAAACTCTTACACTGTTTGGCTTTCAGTACAACACAGGTGTTAGAACCTCATCTTGTAAATCCCTTGCGGAACCAGGCCACAGCTAGCACAGTAACAAATTTACAGCAGAAGATAAATGAAATAGCTAATTAAAAGACACACATCTGGATTGCTGCAAGAAAAAAAAAGGCCCTGAGAAATTGGAAAGAATCCAGCATAATGCCACTAATTCAAGTGAAGAGCCTCGAGCATAGCAGAGAGCAAGCTGGGTTTATTCAGCTTGAAGAAAAGATGCTTAAGGAGGGATTTAACACTTGTCTGAGACTACCTAAAAGGGGCCGTGGGGGTTTAGAGCTGATAAGTCAGGTTCTTTCTTGTGGGACACAAGAAAAAGACAAGAGGCAACTGGCATCACTTGCAGCAAGGGAAATTCTGATTAGGTATCAGGAAAAACTGCACATGTGCTCCCCCCCAAGGGGGTTCAGCACTTGCCACAGGTTCCCAGAGCAGCTGAGGAACCTCCACCCTGGCAGATGTCAGGACTCACCCAAATAAGGCCCTGAGCCACCTGAGCTAGTTTTGGGGCAGCAGGGGTAGGACTAGGCAATCCAGAGGTCAAAATGGTTGTCAAAGCAAGAGCAGAGAGAAAGATTGTGTATAGAGTTTCTTTTGCCCTTGTTCTTCCTAGGACTGTATCAGCAGCCACTTGTAGTCAACTGTCACATGCATAACAAATTTTGGGCCCTTTGGCAAAGAGCTCCATTGCTCAGTTACAGCGACACCCCCTCCTTTGACTCACTTATAACCTGCTCCCTGCCTCTTTTTAAACACCTGGTTGTTGTGAAGAAAGGAAAACAACAACCTGTGGGTGATTCCTGTTTCTCTCCCCCTGCTCCAAGGTGCTCGTGGTAACAGACCTAAAACATCCGTATCCATCCTCAACTCTTTGCCAGGCTGAAGACTCCAGCCCTGCTAAGGGGTTCTTTTTGTACAGAACTATTCTGTACCTCTGGCCACCTTTGCTGTCCCTCTCAGAGATATTTCCAATTCTGGCATCTTGATTTGGAGATAAGAGTGAAGGTGGGCACAGAACTGTGGTGTTCAAAATGTTGGTGAGTCATGGACAGCAGTGCTTCCTGATGTTCACTACAACCAAGCATTAAGCTAACAACTGCATGGACTTCTACAACCAAGGAGAGGTTACCATTCATTCACAGCCATTGTTTTATATGCAATTTTTGTATTATTTTTCTGTATGAAGATTGTTTTACATAAGCCTTTTCACCTGCTGTTGTACTGCCCACTCATTCACTGCCATTAGGTCTTTCCAAAATTATTCACAAGTCGACTCCCACCCTATTATCCTGAATAACTTTCTACCATCATCCAGTTTTCTCACCTCACCAAGCTGTATTCCCAGGTCACTTGGGAATATACTGAACAGTGTGTCTTTCAGAAAAGGCCCCTGTGATCTGACCACTGATGGCTTCCCTTTGCTGTAAAAATGGGATGTTAATTCCCACCTTCCATTTACTATTATCTAGTAATTCTTTACTCAAGAAAACCTTCATCTTCTTTTTTTTTAATGCTGTGATTTAAAGATTTGGATGAGAAAATCTTGTCAAATTCTTTAAATCCAAGCAAACTGCACTGGCCAGACCTGCCTTATCCACAAGCTTGCTAAGTCCCTCAAACCCTCCAGTTTTACAGGACCATATTTGCCTTTACAAAAGCAGATGCTGGCACTTTCCTTAGTATCACATTCATAGCTTTTCCCATTATACTGTGCACCCTCTTGCTCAGATAACTTCATTGTTCCATGCTTCCCTCACATTTGGGGGGAGTTAATTTGGAGCCCTTTTTGAGAATAAGCATCGCATTTTTTAATCTTCTTCTTCTAAATCTCAGCATGGAGGTGATTTCGGACGGGAGGTTTTGCTGTTCTGTACAGAAGTCTGTTGTAGTTCAGTCACCAGTGCAGAGCAAACGCTGCCTGGGGACGGGCAGATGGACCATCTTCCTGTGACTTGCCAAAGCCACATGCTCTCCATCAGGCCTTGGGGCTCCAGCACAGTGCTGGGCCACTGTGGCTGCCCAAATTCTTACCAGAGAGTAATCCAGTGCAAATCCCATTTCCTGACACCCTTCCAGAGCAGGGTACCTGTTTGGACTGACTGTGAGGATTGTATGTCCTGCTTTTTGTTCCATAAAGGGCTAGAAAGACTGCAGCAAATAAAGGAACAACCAGAATTTAAAAGGCCAGGGAGCTGACATCTCTCTCTGCAAAACCGTTCAGAGATGCTGCAGCTTCAGGGTGGCAGAGGAACTGCAGCAGACTGGGCATCACAAACCCTGCTTGCTCGTTATCAAAGTGAGAAGGAGCAACAGCAACAATGTAAAGCACAGCCAGCTCCAATCCTCTAATAGGCAGCTCCTATTAAAAAGTGGGGGTTTTTTCCCTTCTGTGCCTGATTCCTACTGCTGATATTTTTATTTTTCTCACCAACAGCTCTTGTTTTCTTGCCCTAACTAGCATTCACAGCACTCACCCACGGGATGGCATCAGGGTCTTGTCTCTCAGATCCCCACTGATGGAGGACTGACAGGAGCTGGTGGAGGAAGTACCACAGCCCTCAACCAAGGGGGTCCTACTAAAGAAAATAAAGCAATATTGGAATTACCAAGAAAGGATCTTGAAACGGATTTGAGAGAGAGATGAAAGACCTTGATAGAGGAGGGGTGGATGCTGATGGCGGTGAGTGCCGGGCGCTGGAGCAGCAGCTGGCAGTGCTTGCGGGTGCAGCACCTCCCGTGACTCACCTGAGCCCGATCCGCACAGGCGAACCCCGAACTCCGCCTGCTCCCAGGCGGACTGAGGAGGAGATAGCTCCAGGTCAGACAAACCTCAGGCCTCAAGCCGCGGGCTTAATTTTCACCATTTGCAAAGCACTTCCTGGACTGCAGTTAATGAATAATCAAAGGGGTGGGGAAGGCCAAGGCCAGGCTCGGAGAGGTGGATGGAGACGGAAGGGACCGACGGCTCTTCCTGCCTCCCATCCACGGAGCTCACGCCCTGGCTGGCTGCATTCCTGCCCGCTTTGTAACTCAGAGCGCAGAACGCCCGCCGCAGCTCCCTCACACCTGGCTTGCAGCTCCCTGCTCTCCCAGGCCTGGCTCCTCCACTCTCAGCCCTTTTCCCCTCCCTTCTGTCGCCAAAGACCTCTCAATTCTTCCAACGGCAACAGGGACAAAGGGCAGCAGGCTACAGACAGACATACCTGATGTCCCTCTGAATGACACTGGAAAGAAAACATTGCAAAGGAGCAAGGCTGCACCACTAGGATGATCCCTATGCAGTCCAAAAAAAAAGAGGCGAGATAAAAATTTTATGTTGTTTATGTTGTTCTAATCCAGGCTGCAGCCAAACGGGGCGAGCCCAGCCCTCCCACGCTCGGCCGCTCCCTGCTGCTTTTTTCACTAAGGAAAATGTGCCGGATTGCACATTCAGCCACAAAACAAGGCAGCCACAGGCACTGGGGGCTGGAGTAAGTTAGCACCGACCCTGCTGGGACAGGGGTCTCAATGGCATTTACAACACCTGGTGAACAGCACTGGACCGTGTGGAGGGACACGCTTCCTGGTATGCTTCAAACAGCACGTCGGAAAATGCTTGCCCTCGTGAAGTGCTTAATACCTGTCTCTGTGATACCAGATCCTAGGGCTTCCCACCGAGGCTCTGCACAAACCTTCTGCAGAACACGGTGCACAGTGGGCCTCCCAAAACAGCGTCGCAAGTGTCATGCAGAGAGCACTGCTGTGCCTGCCTCTGCACCAGGGACAGCACTGCTGAGCTCACGGCCATTCATAAACACGGGCGTTTTCAACACACGTTTTATTCACGAGCAGACACAAAGCACCCCATTCCTTCCAGGACCGCGTCTCCCTTGTTCAAGTGCCCCATTCCCAGGGCTGACAGGACCTGCACCTTGGAAGGAGGGCACCGGGAGAACTCCGCGGGCTCAGGAGGCAGCAACTCCGCCGGTGCCGGCCCCGTGCGGCGGCAGCGTCATGGGCGGCAGGAACATGGCCTTGAGCTTGCCGGACATGCTGGCGATCTCCGGGTCCTGCGACTCGTAGGACTTGATCAGCCGGGCGAACTTCAGGACGCCTGCAAGGAAAGGGGGTGGGCGGGACGCCCCGCTGCCCCGGAGCATCCCGCCCGGCGGGGGAACAACCCACCTTCGCCGTCGCTGCTGAACCCGTAGGCCTTGATCACGTCCTGCTGGATCTGGGTGGCCACGGGCAGCAGGAACTGCAGCATCTTGCCCATGTCGTTGCAGGCGTTGTCCCGAGCCTCCTCCATGCGCTGCGCGTTCTCGGGCGCCCCGAACGCCTTGATCACCTCCGCCAGCACCGCTGCGGGACACGGGCACTCAGCCGCCCGCCGGCCTCCCGCATCCAGCTGCGCGACACGGGCACTCCGCCGCCGGCCCGCCCGGGACACGGGACCGCCCGCACTCACCCTTCGCCTGCTCCGCGCTCAGCGCCGGCGGCACCGAGGGCTGCGCGGAGGCCGCCATGGGGCGCGGCGGCACCGCGGCTCCGGTCCCGGACCGAGCGGCAGCGGCTGCAGCCCGGCCCGCCCCGAACGCGCCTGCGCCTCCCCGCCCCGTTCTGCCATTGCACCGGCTGTGGGAGCGGCTTCCCGCGAGCGCGGGAAACCTGCTGGACAAATTCTAAAAGAGCTGAAATCACTGCCGGGAAGCGCGCCGCGGCGGGGAGCCCCTCCGGGCCGATCCACCCTAGGTGAGGGTGAGAGCCGCTTTTCACTCGTGCGGCCTCCTCCGTGGGCTCCCGGCCCGGTGCCGTCCACCCGCCCCTCTCCAGGCCGATACCGGCGGCTCCGCCGCCGCCGAACCGGCCCGGCCGAGCCACCCGGGCCCTATGCAAATTTCTCGCTTCTCATTGGTCCGCGGCGCGCACGCCCCGCCCCTCCCGCAGTGGCAGGGCTCCTGCCCAGCGGCTCCCCCGCGCCTTTCCCGAGGCGGTGCCCACTTCCAGCCTCTCCCACTTTTCACCGGGAGTGTTTCTGCCCTTCCCCTCCGGGCCCCACTGAAAAGAAATAAACACACCAGAGTCCCATTTCTGAAAGGGTTTTTTTGTCTTTTTTTTTTCCTTTTTTAAGAGCTTCATATATATATTTATATATATAAATTATTAGAATGTGTGTCAGGGCTTGGGAGTGCGTGGGGAACATCATTTAGGTGGTTGGTTTTTTTTTTTTCTTTTCCATAGCTGGGTTGTTGGTTGTTTTTTCCTTTAATGGTTAAGTAAATATATATATATATGGGGGACCAATCGAGAGATACAACTGTGAAATCAGAACACGCACGCGGGGGCAAGGGAGTCACAAGTTGCTACATAAAACTGCCACGTCTAATAGGATGTGCATGAGTTAAAGTACATCAATTAGGGTGGGTGAGGGGAAAGGGGCAGCCACCATCTTACAGACAGTCCCAGGACGCAGTGGTACCGCTGGGCCACGCCAGCTCTCCCCACGGGGCTCACGGTGCTGATGGCAGTCTCCAAAACAGTCTGCTGGTGCTTCGCACCTCGTGGCCGTGCCCGTTCCCTCAGCTGGGGAAAGCACAGCCACCGTCCTGCAAACAGTCCTGCGGTGCTTTGCACCCCGATGGCTGGGACCGGACCCTCCGCCGGCAGGAGAGGCCGCTCAGGAAGGGACCTGGAACGCTTTGTTTGCATCTGAAGGGATGTTGGGAGAACGGGAAGCTGCTCTGGCTAATCTGAAAAAGTTCCACGTTGCTTTTCTGTATCGCTAAGCAGTATCTTACAATTAAAGGGGGGCGGGGTGTCGAGGAGGCATCTGGAAAAAAGGCTCTTTTGTGTTTGCAGGTATTCCTTGGCTGCACCTCCTCCTTGCAGAAGCAGAAAAGGCAGGAGCATCCTGTACACGAAGTCCTGCAATGCTCTGCGCTTTTTATTTAATGCAACTGTTCCCCCAAAAGAAAGGATGGAGCTCCTGCCACCCTGAATTCATGTCAGTCTTTGTCCTTCTGAGCTCTGTGCAATGCTGATTCTCTTCTCTTCAGAGCTCGGCTGAAATCACGTACCAATCGCTTCAGGTCCATTAGTGGTGTCTCAGTCCCTCCCCATTTTCTCTCCTCCACTTTTCCCAGGATGCCATCCCATACTTTTTGTCATCTTCTCTGGTACTCTACTGCATGGTGGGATCGGGATGTGTCACTTTGCAGCTTCCCCTCCCCCAGGATTTGGTTGACTGATTGCTCCTCTTGAGAGAAAGACATGATGATGTCACACTGACAGCAGAAGTCCATTTAAAGGGGTTTGTCACTTTCCTTCTTCAGGTGGCTAGGATAAAAAAGAGGAACAACTCAATAGTGAAAGGGAAAAAGGCAATTTACACCATTCCCCTGCCTTTGTTCATCTGGACCCACACAACACTGCTGGCTTAGGAGGTTTTGTAGATCCTTGAAGTAGGAGATACTATTGGAAAGGTACAACATTCCACTTCTCTCTTTCCCAGTGTACCTCCCCATTCACTTGTGAATTCCTTATCTTGGCAAAACCATCAAACCCTTAAAAATGTATTGTACTTTGGCAGGGCTAACAGTTAGTCATAACTGCATTAACATGTATGAAACACATAAAAGTTACCTCCCCCCTGAGAGGGGAGGAGCTGAGATCTCACAAGGGATCAGCCACTCGGTAGCCACTTGCCAAGTACGACCTTCCTGGTGGCCAGCCACAGCTGTGCCCCACGTGGGCTTGGCCACAGGCACCCCCTCCAGGGGCAACGCTTCCCTGCTCCCACTGCCTGTGCCAGCCCCACGCCAGGGCTGGGCCTGGAGGCGTTCTGGTGAGGAGAGAGCAGCTGCACGCACCTGTAGTAGTCCTCCTGCGTGGGCAGCGGCACGCCGTGCAGAGGGTGGTGGGCGTGCAGCCACTGCTGCTGCTCCAGAGCCAGGCGCTGCAGCTCAGCCGACTGCGCGTGCATGGCCTGCAGCTGGTGCGCCGCCGACATGGGCGCCGACAGGGAGCCCGGCAGGTCCCTGTAGGGTGCGGCTGCAGCCAAAGGTGACACAGAGAAGAGCCCAGTTAACGCTCCATCCACGGCCCCAGAGCTCAGCCAAGACCCTGCTGCACCCCCATTCCCATCCCTGCCCACGTGCTGGACCTGCTCATCCCGACAGCGTGGGCCTGTCCTACGCTCTGCTTAACGGAACTCATCTGGTCCTGTGACACCCCAGGACGCCCCTGCCCCCCTGGAACTCTGCTGATGCTCTTTGGAGGAGAACAGCAGTCCCTGTGAAGTTCCTTACCAAAGAGCTGGTGGCGCAGCACTTCATTCTCATGGAGAGGGTGAGGCAGGAGAGGGTTGGGGATGGTTCCAGCCGGGTATGGTATCCGGGTGAGGTGTGATCCCGAGGCGAGGGGGTCGATTAGAGGGTGAACGGAGGCTGAGGCTGGGAAGAAAAGATGCCACAAGATAATTGTCCTGGGCTTTGCAGCAGGTAACACAGAGACAGGCACAAGGTCTCACAAAACAGATACGGAGAGAGGGTCAGAGTGTGTTAGGGATGGGATGATTTCACAGCTAAATAACAGAGTGTCATCTCCTTCCAAGTGTTAACTCTTTGTGCCTGCATCGAACTTCATGTGAACCAGTCTGGCAGAGCTCTGTCCTTACGCTCCTCAGGAAGAAATACTGCTCCTTAGAAATACAGCTCCTTAAAAGTTCAGCAGGGTTCTGCAAGGACCTGCTCTGCAATCAGGTCTGCACCCCTTATCATGCCCATATGTCACCCCGACAGCCATTCACGTGCATATTTGTGCTGGATGCTTTCTTTTCCAGGTCCTATCCACGACAGATTCTCTTTCTAGTGGTTTGGACTCCCAGCCAGAATAAGGTGCCCAGCCATGGATGGCAGGGAAAATGAACATTCACTTGTACCTCATGCCATCTCTGAGCAGTTGCAGCTGCTCAGAGCCAGCATCTGTGACTGACACCAGACCCCACTGACCGCTCACAGCATCTGAGCAGGCACAAGGCTTTTTTCCTATTGCACTGTAGCTTGGGCTTTGCTTCCCTAAGATTTTCATCCCCAAAGATTTTACTTTGCTTTCCTGCAGGATGAGGAAATGGAAGGGACCACCATTCAATTCTGAAGAACAGCAGCCTCCGGTTCCTTATGATCACCCCACCTCCTATCCTATCCCATCTCACTGTCTGCAGCCACTGAGAACCAGCATTTTATTAGTCCTAAGGACACTGCCAAAACTGTTCTAGCAGGGCTCCCGCTCCCTCTGCAGACTCCAGTCTAAGGAACGCAGTTCACAGCAGCACCACCCAGGCAGTCAGTGGGACTCCAGCACTTGTACTGTGGCCCCACAGATCCAGAACAAAAGGACACAGTGCAAACAGTTTTGCTGGCCACTGATCAGCAGCGTCAGTGCCTTTGGTGGGATGGGAGTGGGGAAAAGGAAGAATGACCATGATGTTGGGCTCTTCTGGCTGAAGATGTATAGCCTCCAAGTTTAATCCTGTCAGCTTTTAGGGTCCCGCAGGGCCGGAGGGAGGGAGTTCAAGGAAGACACAGTAGGACAGAAATCAGGGCTTTGTGCAGGGCACCACCACCATGCGGCCCTTACCTGCGTGTATGGCATCCTGCTGGTGGAGATGGAGGTGGGAGTGGATGTGGGAATGC